TGACATATCTTCTGATATTCTATTTGACATTCTATCTGGCATATCTTCTGGCATATGATCTGGCATATCTTCTGGCATATCTTCTGGCATTCTATCTGGCAAATCTTATGGCATTCTATCTGGCATATCTTCTGGCACTCTATCTGACATATCTTCTGGCATTCTATCTGGCATATCTTCTGGCATATATTCTGACATATCTTCTGGCATTCTATCTCGCAAATCTTCTGGCATATCTTCTGGCATTCTATCTGGCATATCTTCTGGCATATCTTCTGGCATTCTATCTGGCATATCTTGTGGCATATTATCTGGCAAATCTTTTGGCATTCTATCTGGCATATCTTCTGGCATTCTATCTGACATTCTATCTGGCTATCTGGCATATCTCTTCTGGCATATCTTCTGACATTCTTTCTGACATTCTTTCTAACTTTCTTCTGCACATTCTTTGTCCCATATCTTCCTACATGAGGTCCGGCAGGGAACACTTGGCGTGGATACTCGCGGTTGAGGTCCGGCAGGGAACACTGGGCGTAGATGGTCGTGGTTGAGGTCCGGCAGGGAACACTGGGCGAGGATGGTTGTGGTAGAGGTCCGGCAGGGAACACTGGGCGTGGATGGTCGTGGTAGAGGTCCGGCAGGGAACACTGGGCGAGGATGGTCGTGGTTGAGGTCCGGCAGGGAACACTGGGCGTGGATGGTCGTGGTTGAGGTCCGGCAGAGAACACTGTGGATCGCGGGTCGCAGTTGAGCAAGGACGACGAGGACGACGAGGACGACGAGGAGGACGAGGAGGAGGAGGAGAGGAGGACGAGGCAGGAGGAGGCGGAGGAGGAGGAGGAGAAGGAGGAGGAGAAGGAGGAGAAGGAGGAGGAGGAGGAGGCAACTGACATAAAATCTAACAACCCTTACCTGGCAGGTGGGGAAATACCACGAAATACTGCAGAGAATATCCTGTGTACTCCAAGATAATGCGAGCACGGTGCAGACAAGGGATTCAAGGCCAAAACGATTTAAACACCATGCACATTGCATAATTACTGTAATTTCGAACACCCTGCAAATATTGTAAAAATAAGAGATTTCAACTACAAATAAAACTCAAAGATTCAAGACCAAAACGTTTTAATTAAATATCATGCAAAATGCATGTTTAAGTGCGCAACCCCTGCAAATATTGTACAAATAAGAGATTTCAGCTGCAAAAAGGTTCAAAGTACAGATTCTTGAGTTTTGTTTTTTCCAGTGTCTTAAGTTGTTTATTCCAGTGTGGAGAGTAGGGGTGAACCTTTTTTTTCCAGTAGTCAAAAGTTATTTTTCCAGTGTCTAGCCGGTTGGACAAACCGAAGACTATACAAAATAAATCTTTCCCCCTTGTTTCATAAACACCTCCCCAGAAAGCATGGTTATTCAGTAGGGGATTAAAAAAACACATTTGGAACCATTAAGCATGGGGCAGTTGTGGGATATGGGATGGGATGAAGGATATGGAATGGGGTGAAAGCCATATTGCCATAACCTGAAAAGAGGATTATGATTACTGGCTGTAGCCCCTTTTAAGGGGATGGTATTTATGTGCTACATCCAAGAAATCAACCATCATTCCTGTGGGTGTATTACTGGGTAATGTCAACCCCGGATTAATAAACCCTAGGCTGTTTAATTGGGAGGGTACCATTTAAATATCAGATTATGACTATTGGGGGAATACCCACCTAATTAATAGACCATGGTTTATTAATCCGGGGTTGACATTATCCCTAAATATGTGGAATTATGTTTACTATGATCCCCAGTCATGGTTCATGGGATCGTTTATCGGCCGCGGTTTCGCACTTTATTGACTTTATGTATGCCCCCCAAGTCATAAGTTTGTTTATACCCCCGATGAACTATACAATGTGAGGCCCCCAAGATATGTTTTTTGGTTTAGATTCGCCCCAGTAACTATAGTTATAAATACCATAAACCATAGTTATTGGAGTTATAAACCAACTTAGCTATCGAACGGGGGCCTCACATTGTAGTTATATGTATCATAAACCCTAGTTGGTTGGAATTACAAAAGGGTATGGGGTACACCCAACAATGAACCATCATTCATTTGGGTTCTACTGGGGCCCTACCCCCAGTCATGGTTGGTGCAATTGGATGGCTTATCGTTGAGTTCACCACATTCAATGAAGCACATGAGCCCATCTTCATATCAAATCCATGAAATCCAGATGATGATGTAGATCGATGAGAAAAACCCATTAATATGGCTTATTTACATACATATATATACATATATATATATATAATTATATATATATATATATACTAGTTGGTGGTTTGGAACATTTTTATTTTTTCCATATATTGGCAATTTCATCATCCCAACTGACGAAGTCATATTTTTTCAGAGGGGTAGGGCTCAACCACCAACCAGATGCCATTAAAATTCCCATTAGATCCTATTAAACCACCATAAAATCCCATAACACCACCATAAAATCCCATAAAACAACCATTAAATGCCATGAAACCACCATAAAATCCCATTAAATCTGGTTTTTCTTGGGTTTTTTCTATGGTTTTCCCAACGGCCGGGGCGTTTCGAACATTTTCCACGTGGCACAAATTCATCACCAGGCTCTCGGGCGCGGGTGAAGGTCGTGGCCCAGGAGTCACAGTTGGTGAGGGAAAAAGTGGACGGCTGCTTGGTCGATGGCTACCAGCATTGCTTGGGATATGGGTACGAGTCAAAATACAAGGTATGGATCAAGGCCCCGAACCCACACACGATCCATACCCCCCGATCCATACCTTGATCCATACCCTGTGGTACTGCATGATCCATACCCTTGATCCATACCCCTTTCTCATTGAAGAAAGATTGATGCTAGCCCTAATGCTGCTTTTTATCCTAATACTGCTTCTGGTCCTCGTACTGCTACTCCCGTTGCTACTCCCGTTGCTACTAGCTGCTGCTGCTGCTGCTGCCACTACTAGTCATCTTCCTCCCAGGAGCTGCTGCTGCTGCTGCTGCTGTCGCTTCTGCTGCTGCTCCTGCTGGTCCTGCTCTCGCTGCTGGTGCTGGTTCACTTCCTCCGTGTGCTTCTGGTAGTTGGACAAATGCAACTAGCTGAGTAGCTACTAGCAATATTGCAAGCGCACCTTGGAGGCTAGTAAGACCAGTTCTAGTTCCACTAGGTGCTTCTTGTACTTCTAGTGGCGCTATGGTTACAAGTCCTTCTGTTTCTGCTTTATCTGGCACGTGTAAAACGCTCTCTTCCTTCACAGCCATAGCATGAAAGCCGGCCCAGATAGCGTGTCCCGATCCATACCCCGATCCATACCCGTTCCATACCCGATCCATACCCGATCCATACCCGAACCCAGTCACGCCACAACAAATGCCAATATGAAAGTCCGATTCTATTCTACTTCTACTGCTGCTGCTGCTTCTACTACTACTACTCCTCCTGCTCCTGCTGCTGCTGCTGCTATTCCTACTCCTACTCCTACTACTCCTAGTACTACTGCAGCTGCTACTGCTGCTACTACCATTAGATTACTATTGACTTTTACTAGTACTACTGTTACTGCTACTGCTATTTCTACTGCTGCTGCATCTTATCCTTCTATTGCCACTACTGCTGCTGGTGCTGTTTTTTTTCTGCTCCCTCGACAAGCAGTGGTAACAGTTTTAGCAGCAACAGTAGCAGGAGGAGAAGTAATAGCAAGTCGGGGAGTATCAGCACAGTTTGTATGCTATGATGAGCCCTTACGAAAGGGTACGGATCAGGCACCTTACGTAAGCACTCGCGATCCATAGTACGGATCACCGCGGAGCGATCCATACCCGATTTTTGACTCGCACCCATATGGATGTGTCTGAAAATAGTGTACCCCTAAACCCAATGGTTTTGCTGATCATTATCCCTATTAAATGGCTATAATTGGGAATATACCCTATTTTCAGACAAACCCATATATTGGGATATGGATGTGGGTCAAAATGGAAGATCTGGGACCACAGATGTGAATGTCTAGTTTAGTATTAACCATCCAATTATTGGGGTACCTAATTTTGACCCATACCCATATGCGCATTTATGGATATTAATGGATAGTAATGGATATAATAGATATCATTAAGATTAGTGAACATACCAATAATGGGATATGAATATCATGGATATTAATGGATATAATTATGCACATTGATGGGATATCTTTGATTTTAATGGATATGGATATGCATGGATAAAGGGACATAGAAAAATAAACACTTGGATGGCTGGGAGAATGAATGTGGCTAAGACAATGTCGGACTCATTCCTCGCACCAGTTTCTTTTTTTTTAATGGACCAGTGTCGTGGGATATTATCATGGTAAAAAAAAAATACCAGTGTCATGTGTGTTTTTTTTTTAATGGGATATGAATGGGAGATATATTGCTCAATAATTATCATTAATGTGTGGTAAAAGTAAGTTCACAAACCATCCCCCAGTCATCAGAATAAATATATAGGTGGGATTGAAACCATTCCCAAATGGTTGGGAAACTGTTGTTTTACCCACATCAATAGATATTAAAGGAACATGTTTCACACTTGGTAATGGGATGATGGTCCAAGAATAGTAGTGGGATATTGGTCCATTGATAGTTCTTGACTGGTTGGTTACAAGCTGGTGCTACAGTTTGTAAGCTAAGTGAGTGATTACAGCTGCGGTAATTAGGATAAGAAATGTCTCTATCCCACCAGTTGAGACATGAAAATCAAGTACACCGTTTCCCAATCTCATGAAATACCAGTTACTAGTTGGTTGATAGTTGATAGGTTTCTCTACTATGTGATATGATATAATCGAAACCATATTTAGACAGGAAGTATAAATCCCTTTAATAACTAAAAATCGTGCTTGACTTGTTCGTTTGAAGGAAGTGCACCCGATTGCCAAGTTGGTTATTCATAAATACAATAGCTATGGGTATGGTAGATAGAACGATGGACCATGGGGGTTAAAAACTAATTAACTTACAAGTGGGAGGGGTACCACCTGGTAATGAGATGTTTTACCATCAATTATAGGGTTTCAAGTGGTTTCAACCATCAAAGTCATCGATTATGGGAGTATGATTGACCACTGAGTATAAAGGGATGACATCGCGCGTATTTAAAAACCGCCTCATGCCGAGCTCCAGTACGCATGGAATATACATACATATATATATATATAATTATTATTGTTATGAAATTATGTGCAATATATACATCAATATAACCCATGTAGCTTATAAGGGGGATTTATATGGATTTAATATATCGCGATAGTCTAAGATCGTAACAATTGAAGTATACGGCTGGACCTAGGCGTAAGCTCGGCCTACATTCGCATTTCCTTGGAGTCGGACCATGCACTTTTCCCTTTTCTGGATTGGTCATATGACCAATGGATTGGTTTAAGGGAAAATCTTAACTGGAAACCATAGAGTTTCCCATTAAGTATGGGGTTTAATGGGGTTTTCCTGTAAACTTTCCCTTAAACCAATCCATTGACATATGATACCGGACGATTGAACGTGGGCATGGACCGCCTTACAGACGGTTGATGTGGTTGCCTGCCGGATGACCATCCAGTTCTCTCAGGTTACGTCAGAGGACAGCCGGATCCCGAGCAGAATGAGCAGTCGGTCTCCAGAACCGCCACCAACATTCGAAACTCGGACATTCGATGGGGAGGATTGGCAATTTGGGAAAATGATGAATGAATTGTGATGAATTGTGGCGGTTTGGAGAAAAATGATGATGAAAATGATGAAAATGATGAAAATGATGAAAATGATGAACATGATGAAAATGATGAAAATGATGAAAATGATGAAAATGATGAACATGGATTGTGGCAATGGATTGTTCCACCAGCAAAATGATGAAAATGATGATTACCCAATTGTTCCAGTAATCAAAGGTGCCAATGGGAGATCCCCTATAAATGAATGCTGATTCGTGGTTTGGAACATGAATGGATTACGACTTTCCATTCAGTTGGGAATTTCATCATCCCAACTGACGAAGTCCATCATTTTTCAGAGGGGTATACCACCAACCAGCAATGAATGGATGTTAGCTCGGAAACAGTATGGAAAGCCGTGCCCTGCATGGGGAATTTTCCAGGTTTTCCTGGGATGAGACCATGATGATTCGTACGGGTCGCTTACGTGGTAGAGTAACTGCATGGGTTATTCCACCCATTGTTTTACGACTTAGAAGTACTGCAATTTTACCAGTTATAATAAGTTATAAAGTTATATACAACTTATGAGTATTACAAGTTTATCAGCTGTAAACCTATGACGAATTATGGAAAATGAATTCACTCTAAGTTAGAAAGAAGTTAGCATTTGCTAACACCCATCATCCAAGCACCCGAGGATCCCCAAAGGTCTGGATCAACGGTCAGCCCACGAACCATGCCCCTCACCGCGGAACGATCCAAGCAACGTTGCAAGACAAATGGAACCTGTTTCAGTAAATCGTCCAATCTTACTACCATCAATTTATTGAACTCTCTAGCTACTAAAAATAGTTAAAAGATGTTAAAAGCATCAAGCTACTGAAATTCACAGCTCAACAAGTTTGAATAACGAATCAACTAACATCAACTAACATCAACTAACTACCAATATGGGTTGCTGATTGCTTGCATTATGGCAACCCGAAAGATGCAAAACAGTACATACACTACTGAATTTGTTTTTTGATGTTTGCCTTCTCTGTTTTTTTTTGGGGGGAGGGGTATAGACTATTGCAAACAAGTTGTTCAGCTAATGAGCTAACGTAAGCTAACAATTAATCTTGGTTATGTTGGTTATAGAAAAAAAAACACTGGTTGGTGGTTTTGGAACATTTGGATTATTTTTCCATACATTGGGAATTTCATCATCCCAACTGACGAAGTCATATTTTTCAGAGGGGTAGGCTCAACCACCAACCAGATGCCATTAACATCCCCATTAGATCCTATTAAACCACCATAAAATCCCATTAAGCCACCATAAAATGCCATTAAACCACCATAAAATGCCATCCAGAACCGGCTCCTTAAAGATCTCCGACCTCCAACGTTTTTTAAACACGCCGCAGGTGTCGGGGCGCCGATCCGTTCCGAGAAGCGTATGAACTTCGTTTGGGTCGTGAAAGCTGGAGCTCAAAAGGTGGGTTTTGGAGAGGGATGGGTGGAATATGGGAACCAAATAATTATAGCAGATTGGACAAAGATGGGAAAATCATACAATGTGAGGCCCCCAAGATATAAGTTGGTTTAGATTCGCCCCAGTAACTATAGTTATAAATACCATAAACATCAATAAACCATAGTTATTGGAGTTATAAACCAACTTAGCTATCTTGGGGGCCTTACATTGTATGGAAAATCATTGGGATATACTTTTTTATAACATTATTTATGTTATTTTTTTTAAAGTAACTGTACTTAATGACCAATAGTAATTAATATAGTTGGTGAGGACGAAACATGGGATGAATAATTATCCGCTGGGGAGGGAGCTAAGGAGCTCATAAAGCATTGGAAGCAATGCAGCTATCAAGAGTCTTCTAAGCACTTCATGGTATAGCAACATAAGCAATTCTCATATGTGGAAATCAGGTGTATTTAATCGACTATAGTTACAAACCTGTACAATGCGAGAAGTAACCAACGAAAAATTGCATATCATGAATGCGAGTACAGTATATAGTAGTATATATTTTGAACATAGCCAATACTATTATATACAGTAGCTGATTGGTGTTTAATTTGAGGTAAGTCAACATTGGAAAAAGCCAGATTGGATGGGGTTAACCCCAGTTCTATATATATATATATGATAATAAAATTTCCCATGCACCTATCAAGTGGGATGTACATCCTCCTGGGGGAATCAACGGATCACTATCCAGCTGGACAGGGATGAATGGTGGATGGTGAATTTAAATGGATTACCCTGGCTGGTCAACGAACTAAATGGGCCATTTTCAATAGAGGGTAATAGCATAACATCTTAGATGTTCAACAATGGTAATAGCATTAGCCTCTTTTTGGGGTAGCCTCTGGTATTTTCAATGTTGATGTGAAATTACCAGAGGGTATAGACTCAGAAACACAACGCCAGGGCCACCCTCATGGTCGTTTTACCGGTGCCCGGTGCCAGGGCCAATCCAAGTACTCCTTAGACCCGGAGTCCGCGTACATCGATCCCAGGGTGTCTTGACGGCACAATCACCAGAGTCCAGCAAGGGTCCCAAGATTTTTCCCATGGCATTTTCAACATGCGTATGGTGAATATATGGTGAATATATGGTGAGGGGATTGACCATCGATGTGGGAAATTCCATGAGAGCAATACGGATATAATCTGGTTGGTGGTTTCAAACATGAATTTTATTTTCCAGAATATATGGGATGTCATCCTTCCCATTGACTTTCATATTTTTCAGATGAGTTAAGACCACCAACCAGGCTAGTGGTGAATGGAGTTAGGGGTATCAATCTTCCCCATTAAATGGTTTAAATGGGGAGCCAGTTAGAGCTGCAATCGGAGTTTCCTAACTTGATTTGGTAGTTCATGTGTTTATTTTTATGACTCTGAAGAAACACATTTCACTAGAAACTTTGAGGAAAGGTTGCTGTAGATGTCCACCAGAATCCATTCCAGTCGATTTTCGCGGCCGGTGCGGCCAGATATCTATATAAGTTAAGATGTAAAACTATAGGCTAATTCGATGGTCTATGGTCGGCGTATCAAACTAATTCAACATATGCATAGTTATGTATCAAACTAACTAATTCAAAATAACTATGTATTGGGGTAAATAACTATGTATTAATTCAAATTAATTCCAACTAATTCAAAAACTGAGTTCATCTGGGATTATATGAGACATATCTGGGATTATATGGGATATATCTGAGATTACATGGGATACAGTATATCTGGGATTATATGGGAAATATCTGGGATTATATGGGCTAAACATCAACCAACAAAACATGTCCCGTTTAGGACAAGCAGCGCGTGACCCGGGACAAGATCTGCTGTGACGTCTGCGGCAACCTGCTACGTCGTCCCTACCGGGTCCGCTGCTACCGGCGCCGGACGCCTTATGACCCCCCGGAGACGGAGGTGGACCGCGACTCGGTGCCCGGCGATGGATATCCATGGGGATATATGTCCATACAATGTGAGGCCCCCAAGATAGCTAAGTTGGTTTATAACTCCAATAACTATGGTTTATGGTATTTATAACTATAGTTACTGGGGCGAATCTAAGCCAACTTATATCTTGGGGGCCTCACATTGTAGGATATTGTGGGATATAATGGGATTATAATTGGATTATAATGGGATTATAATGGGATTATAACGGGATTATAATAGGATAAATATTGGGATTATAATGGGATAAATATTGGGATTATAATGGGATAAATATTGGGATTATAATGGGATAAATATTGGGATTATAATGAGATAAATATTGGGATAAATATTTGGATTATAATGGGATATAATGGGATTATAATGGGATGAATATTGGGATTATAATGGGATTATGATGGGATTATATATATCTGGGTAAATTCTAACGACCTCACTGTTCTCCCGAAGCCTGGAATAATGGTTAATAAGGGGAATTCTCCCAATATGGTCCAACATTTCAGGTTAGTGAAATATTATAATTTACCCAGATGGATGTTGTTTTTGGCAGTGGAATATAAGGGGGTTTCCATAAATGGTGGATGCCCAAAAATGGATGGTTTATAAGAGAAAATCCGTCTATAAATGGATGATTTAGGGTAGCCTCATTTTAGGAAACCTCCATAGATTTGCCAAATGATATACAATTAGTATCAATTATATAGTACATATATGTTGCCCATCAATCCGGTATATATTCCCTTTCCCATTTACGTTCTTTTATTAGTTGTACAGATATATAATCTATATATTATGGTGGTTTATTATTCATAGATACCATGGAACATGTCAAGGATGTCAAGTCAACACCGGATTGATGTTGACAGATTAGGCTCTTGATCATTGGAAAGATACACTTTACCCTCTGGTAAACCAACATAACTATGGAAAATCACATTTTTTTATGGGTAAATCAACTATAACTGGGCCATTTTCAATAGCTATGTTAGTTTAACAGAGGGTAGTAGCAATTTTAGAATGTTTTCGAGATTGAAGGTTTCACGCGCGTGCATGGTTTTAGTAGTGGATTGTCACTTGTTGGAGATACTTTTCCAGATTTCTCAACCAGGGTTTATTGATGATGATACTGCACGTGTTTTGAGACATGTGTGATGCAGCTAACCGGTAAGGGAATATCCAGAAGACACATGTCCTACCAAACATTACCCTCTGGTCAATTTGTTACATAGCTATTGAAAATAACCCAGTCGAAATAGTTGATTTTCCCAGCTACAAAATGGTGGATCTTTCCAGTTCGTTATGTTAGCCCGTTTACCCCATTTATAGTTGATTTGCCCATTAAAAATTGTGATTTTCCATAGTTTTTTGTAGCCCGTTTACCATTTCGGGTATCCTTTTGCATTTGCCAATATGCTGGGCCTGTAAGATTTGATGGGCCTCCCCACATCACCAGTGGTTCCCTTGGGATTGGGTCGGCCAGAGCGACTAGCTTCCAAACGCTGCTGGACGTGTAAAGAGGGAAACATTACAGAAATCTGGTAGCAGATCCATGGCACGGTATCTCTTAGTCATAGAAATAATCCATAGATGCCTTGATTACATGACTATAGACACATATAATATGTATATATATACATAACATGATATAACATGTCTATTCTATACATGTATTGGGTTGTAGGGGTGACCCAAGATGGCCAAACTTTTCAGGCCAGCTTCTGTTCCTGCACTTGAGCATGTTTGGACATGGGGTACACCTCCCAAACCGGCCAGCTCCCATATGGAAAATCTTCAGACAAACCAATAGAAATTCTGCCTTGACAGAAATTTGGCAGCATTATTGAATGTAGGTGAATATTTTTTCCTTCAAGCCCAACATCATTCTGTCTTGCAGCTAAGACATGTTTTTATGTACACATTCGATATTGGAAGCAACAGGCCTCCCAAGCACTTGTGCACTTCCTTTCCAATGCCCCAGGTAAGATGGAAGCGGACATTTATTTGGTGGGACATCGCTGTATGAAAGGTCTGTTGGGTATCCCAGGAGACTTGGACGTATCGTGGGGATCCTCTAGGTGTGTGTTTTTTTGAATTTCCCAGGTAGTAATATTTATATATACCCTCTGGTTATTGAACATAGCCGTGGAAAATGGCCCATAGAAATAGATGTTTTTTTCCCAGCTAGAAACCTCCATTTATGGTTGGAATTTTCCATGGCTATGTTAAATAACCAGATGGTATATATACATACAGATACATACATATCCAAACTACTATTAGTGAAACTGTCATTTCATAGGTTTTCTTGACTCAAGAAAGGTTAGGTCCACAGATATCAATGGACATGTTCCAACCGATCTCGATTCATTTGTAGTTTGATCGAAACGAAACCTATCGATTTCTATGGTCAATGTTGTGCCACAAGACTGATTTGGCAGATTTAATAGATTACATGGTGGTAATGTGCCATCACATTCCCCATATACATGTGTATTTCGTTATAGATAGTTGTATATTAGATATACAGATGGTTTCATACTACACATTCTGCACATGGTCATGTTTGTAATCCTGGTAAGAGATGGAGCATCCCCAGTGAAAGGATTATGGATGAAAAAAAACGTGCTGAAATGTACAGCACATCCACCTAAGTCCACCGTGAAGTCAACCAATGGCTTGTGGCAAACTAGTCTCGTGCTGTCTTGTTAATGCTTTCTTGGTTGATCCCGGTAGGCTTGGGGGTGTGATTGCTGTCGCTTGAGAGTTCCCTGAAAACAACATAAAACAACATGTAAGTGTGTTTCCTTTGCTTCATGATCTGTGAAAGCTGCTTTCAGTTATTAGTATTTATGTTTGACTTTCCTATCCTGTCCACTTTAGAATATTGCTGCTGTTCTATGCAGGAAGCCTTGAATCATGACCTTGTAGTTTCTCACCGTCCATGTTAAAGAGGTTCCGACATAGATGCATCAACGCAAATCCACCACACATTTCCTTGGCTAGTTTCTGATAGTTTATGTGTTCAAAAAGGATGCCACACATGATCATCAATGGCAATAGACAGATAAACAGTACTTATATATTATATAATAATAGTATATAATAATAACAACAATAATAACAATAATAATAACAATAATGATAATGATCATGATATATATATATATACTACTGTAACCGCTATCAATCACCTCTATGCATGGTACCGAAGATGCGACCCATGGTACCGGATTTCCCGTCTCCTAGGAGAGAAGTGTGCGCCGCGGAGTCAAAACACTCGTCTGCGGCTGGATATCCGAAAGACGTTGCTCAACGGGACCATTTTTGAAATGGAAGACAACAAGGTTCCTGGACCAAAATCCATCGATTTCACTGATGATTGTTTGGACTTGATAGGACCAATATTGGTGACCAATATTGCGCATGTTGGTGATGTGTATCCATCAATTTTGGTTTGATTCAAGGGAACAAGCTTATCAATTTTGGTTTGATTCCGGCCTCAGTTCTCCATGTTCGGCCTTTAGGGACGCTTTGTTTCACTGGGGCGGGGGTGAAACCAGCCCTTCTCAAAGCCTGAGTGACGTCATCTATGGAGATCTATGGGGATTCCCCATATGGAAAGCATGGTACCTGGGATGATCCACATCCAAAAAAGAATATTTGGAGGTCAAACAGCTGGTTTCCATTGGTTTCCATTGGGGTGTCCATTGGTTTCCATTGGTTACCCTCTGGTTATTTGTTACATAGCCATAGTATAGATGGCCCATAGAAATAGATGGTTTACCTAGAAATAGCATGGTGGATCTTTCCATGGCAAACTGTTAAATAACCAGATGGTATTTCATCATGAAATGGTTATTTTCTCCGTTGAAGCCATTGTGATTGTTGACTCTATTGACCCTCGACTGCAGGTCACGAGTTTCTTCAAATCATCTCAGTGTCCGTTACAGGGACAACTATTGGTATATTGTAGTCTTAATGTAGTTTAGTTCTTATCTATTAGAGCTACCCTTGGTTTAAGTATGTGATATAGCTGGATAATGCTGGATATAGATGATATAGAATGATATATATATATAGATGGATAGCAGCATTTCTTAAACCTATATTCTCTGCAGTGTAAGTGTATACTCATTCACTACCACCCGATCCGTGCGACCGGGCGAGTCGCAAGGAAGGCGAAGAGCAAAACTCCAAGGAGTTCAAAGAGACCGAGATCGTCCAAGCTCTGTGGCTTGGTCGCCTTTGAGGCCACATGATGTAGATAATAACGACCTCAGTGGGACCTCACTGGAATCATAAGTACATAATTGGTTGGTGGTTTCAAACATTTGGATTATTTGTCCATCACTGGATGGTGGTTTGGAACATTTAAGGATTATTTGTCCATATTATATGGGAATGTCATCATCCCAACTGACGAACTCACTCCATGATTTTTCAGAGGGCTAGGTTGAAACCACCAACCAGATGCCATTAAAATTCCCATTAGATCCTATTAAACCACCATGAAAAATCCCATTAAACCACCAGAAAATCCCATTAAACCACCATAAAATGCCATTAAACCACCATAAAATGCCATTAAACCATGATAAAATGCCATTAAACCATGATAAAATGCCATTAAACCATGATAAAATGCCATTAAACCATGATAAAATGCCATTAAACCATGATAAAATGCCATTAAACCATGATAAAATGCCATTAAACCATGATAAAATGCCATTAAACCGTGATAATTGTTAAGGGATATCCTCCCCAAAGGGACTGAATTCACCCACGAAAGGTGGATCTTCTTTTCCCACCCCTGGATTTTTGACCACAGAATGGGAAACTTCACTGGCGATAAATAACTTATATAACACTTGGATCTGTCCGAAAATGAATAAAGGACTTGTTTACCCATAAATATTGCTATTTAATGGGGAAATGGATGATAAACCTTTGGATTTTTGGTGTAATTATCTATTTTCCACACAAACCCATGTATGGCTAATATAAGAACACTGTATGTAAAATACACAGTAATGGTATATATAGTATATAATTTATATAATGAAATTGTAATTGAAATACCAAGTGATAGGTTGTTGTACGAGTTGTACTACCTACTTTCAGCAGCGATTGTAACGCATGAACTAGGAACCAACAAACAAAGTTTATGGGATTATACTATAGTTGGATGTGTTTCCCAATTTTGATAGGGTACGCACTTCCTAGCTAATATGGATAAATGATATCACCTCATTAATGGGCTACGTACTTCCTAGCTAATATGGATAAGTGATATCATCTCATTAATGGTAAAATGTGCATGTTTGTTTGTTTTTTAAATCAGCATGAAGGAACCAACATCACAGGAGGTGGATAGTAACCCATAAACAAGAGGGAGATCCACTAACCACTGGGTGAACTATACGTGGTTACCTTTTTTTTGGAAGCAGTTGCATTTTTTGGAGGGTGCACGTCCCGGTAGGGAGGCTCCAAACTCTCCCAAATCCACTGCTTCATCATCGTCCTCCCCATGAAAAAATTACATTGAGTAGTCTTCAAAACTCCTGTTGGTTCATTATTATATTAATAATCTACACTATCCACTATAATGCGTATCATCATAATCCAATTTGGGAAATCCACAAAAAAACAATCCAGACGAAAGGGACTCAAAGAGAGTTCGAAGATTGCGTCAATTGTTGGGGTAAAGCCTCATTTTTGGACACACCGACACATTTTGACCAAATGGGGTGATGGAAGAAGGTCCCAGCTTTGTTGAATCCTTCGACCTGCTTGACATCCCCGACAGTTGGGGGGTTCAACTTTTTTTGTTTCCACAGAGTTTAAGGAACTTGCACAACTCGCCTTAGTTGACTTTGGATCTTTGTCATATATTCATAGAGATAGTTTCTGGTCGGTGGCTTGGAACATGTTTTATTTTTCCATATATTGGGAATAATCATCCCAACTGACTTGCATATTTTTCAGAGGGTTGAAACCACCAACCAGATGGTAGTTTTTTTTTATTTTGGAATCTGTTGGAATGGACTGCTTAATGCGGAGATTTTTCGCTGCTCGAAAACTTCGCCGACTAGAGGACTGGGGGATGATCCCAGTGACAGGGAACTCTCCTCATAACAACGATGGTTTGGAAGCGCCACGTCCAGGGATAACACCAGGGCGTGTTTGCATGATGTCTTTGGTTTTGCTCTTCTCCAAATAAATGTTCCATCTTCGAAGCATGCAATACTTTTGTGTCTAAGTCAGCCAACCCAAGCCCCCATCAGTTGTCATAGTTTATCAATGCCATATGTTCCCCATATGTTCCATCTTCGAGGCATGCCATTTCCCAATGTAAACATCATTTCACCCATGTGTGATGGCCGATCCAGATGATTGATCCCATGGCCCGTTTCTAATAAAATACAACCATAGGACCATACCGATACCAGAATCATTCAACGCCAACACTTGTCAATCATCATCATCATCATCATCATCATCATCATCATCATCATCATCATCCCGTCACCATCAATCACCAAAAATCAAAAAAAAACTAAGGTACACTTAAATATCACTCCATACCAGCCCGTCATTCATGTTCATTCTCATCATTCTCCATGATTTCGTGCATTTTCTCCCCATGAGATCATCTCATTTCAAAGATATCCCCATGATGCAATCAACCATGGCTGGGGGGCTTAAAGGGTGATATGAACATCATCAAGTTAAACATAGGGATTTTATGGGATTTTCCAGCAATTCATGTTTGATTGAAAGTTACAAGTGTTTGAATCCGTGATTTCATGATAGTTTTCCATAGTAGAATTGCAGCAAAGAGTCATTTTGGAGGTATCATCCCATTTGTTGGAGAACACTATTATCCAAATTTTGCTTATAGAATAATCCATGAAGAATCCATTAATCCATTCCTAATCCTTCCATTTAACAACCCTTTGAAAGATACCCAAAATCAGGAGAATAGACAATCCATATATCATGTTATATTCATGTATAACGTTCTCCATTTCACCATTAACAAGTACACAATCCATTCACAATTACCAATGGGATTCATCATCATCCCAATGGAAGGCATCAATCTAGATAAATTTCATCACGACCTCACTGTTCTCCCTCACTGGAATCATGGTTAAGAAGGGAAATCATCCCCAAATGGCCCAACAATTCAGGTTAGTGAATTATTATAATTTATCCAGATTAAACATCTCATGATATTCCCATGAAATATCACATTCTATTGGATGATATTCCCACATTATATTGGATGAAATATCTTATGGTTTCCGCAGTTCCCAGGCAGACGGAGCTGGCCAAGGTCATCAGCGAATGCGCGGGGCCCGAGGCCGCCTGGCGTCAGCTGCCGAAGGAGAGCGCGCCACGGGAGGTGGGCGTGCGCTCGGGCGCCGGCTGCCGGGCCTTTGAAGAGAGGCCTTTTGCCAGGGGACGGAACGGGGAATGTGCCATAGGGGGATGGGGTGAAAATGTGCGGGGAGAGAACTGATATATATATATATATTATATATATTATATATATATATGTATATATATACATTATATATATTATATATATATATGTATATATATACATTATATATATATATATTTAATGTGTATATATATATATATATATATCAGTATATTATATATATATATATATCAGTATATCAGTATATAATTTATGTATTATATATATATTATATGGTATAGCTGGTAAGTTTCAATCCAGTTCAAACCCATTTTTTTGTTTGGATATTTATGGTGAGTTAAGGTATATAATTGGTTGTATGAGAACCTAGTTGGCAATCAGTTGAGTAATCACGTGGCCCATTCTAGTGGCTTGTGGATTGGGAGACCTCGATGAGGGGTTCCCTTGGGCCCACCAGGTTTGTCAAAATTGAAAGAGGTTTGTTTTGAGACCTATGTTATTGGCATATCATGGGCGATTCATCTAAAAAACCTAAAGACAACTTGCATGACATGGCTGTTTGTAAGATCACCACAAGGTGGTGCCCCAGTGTTAGCTAAGTTGCTTTAGTTCAGCAGGTCGACTTGGAATCATGGTTAGTAATAATTATACCCTCTGGTTATTTAACATAGCTATGGAAAATGGCCCATTTATAGATGGTTTACCTATTAAAAATGGTGATTTTCCATGGCTATGTTAAATAACCAGATGGTATATGAATCAATAATATATCTACAGTGAATGGGATTTGGAATCAAACCAACCTAACTGGGAAGCACCATCGTGCACCCTTTGTGGTTTTCATCGGGATAGGTGATCCCTCAAAAATCCTGTGGTAGCCAGTGGATTATCCTAGCCATTATTTTCCGCTTCAAGGCGGTACAGACCTCTGTGTTTTGAAATCGACGCTTGGTCGACTTCCATTGCCTGCCGAGCAAACCGGGCAAATAGAAGCAGTGGAGCACGCCATGATCCTCCTTTGCTATCCACAATAGAAAACGACTTGTAACATGTGGCCTAATATGAGTTACTCTCTGGTAAATTAACATAGACCCTGAAAATCACCAATTTTTAGTGGAAACTGATCTTCCAACCCCTATTTGCCAGGGTCTATGTTAATTTACTGAAGGGTAGTAGTCAATACCATTCCCTGCATCTCCCACTCGTTTTGAGAAGTTGAATCAGGGGTTGAAAATCAGCGACTGCAGGCAATCTTCTGGCCTGGGCCCGGCTTGTGACGAGTGTCTCAAAGATGTCTTCACTGTTTTCATTATGCATTGTTCTAAAGGTATCTAAAGGTGGCTTCCCCATGCTGAACAATTCCTGTATAGCTTATACCATGCGACAATGATATTCCACATATTCCACATACCATCACATACTTATGCAGGAAGGTTCTCTTTCACGCCAACACATAGGAGGTGCAGATTGAACTCAATGGATATATCACCATAGTATGCCACAGCTACGGGTTTTATCCTGTGGAGGTTGCTACCGTGACATTTATTCCCATGATATACGCATTTATTACACATATCGCATGTCCATCATGTATACAGTTTCATGGGGTTATATCCCAACTTATGGTGTTGGACATTATTTGACAGCAATAACAGCAATCTACGTAGTCCATGGGGTGTAGCCCCAAAGTTACTTTGTGATTCTAGCTTGGAAAATGATGATAAATCATCCCACCGAGGTTTCTAAGGGGGCATTTGGCATTAAAAATTGAATGTATTGAATTCCTCTGGCGGTAATCAAACATGGTTTGAAAACTCCCAATTCTTAGATTTTCCCAGTTGTCAACTTATAAACCCTCCATAGCTCAAACGTGGATGTTCCAGCTTTGACAGAGGCTACAGCGTAACGTTCCCCAGCGCCAGGCCCTACAACGAGGAGGAGGACGTCACGGAAGACGAGGGCGCAGCGGTCATCAAGCTGCCGCCCAAGAAGCGCAACGTGCCGCGGGGACCAAAGCCCAAGGCCACTGTGGTCACAGCGGAGCCGGAACCGGAGGAAGAGGAGGAGGTGGGAACCTCTTGGGGGGATGCATTTTATATTTTTTTCGTGGAAATGTGATGAAATGTGATGACATATGTATTAATTATAAATATATATATAATTATAGTATAACATATTGTAATATATATATATATATACACAATGTGAGGCCCCCACGATAGCTAAGTTGGTTCATAATTCCAATAACTATGGTTTGTGGTATTTAAAACTGACTGGGGCTTATAAACCAACTTATATCTTGGGGGCCTCACATTGTATAATATAAATTATATGTAATGGATATTGATTGGTTGTTTGATTGATTGATTTCTCGATTGATTTGCAGGATATAAACGGAACTTATTTCTGGTCTGGTCCGGAAATGTGGATGAAAAACCAGCCGTTGCATGATCAAACACAGGGGACGTAAACCCCAAACCGTTGATAATGGGTATGTTCCAAAAATGGTGAACTGTATATATATATATACACATGTGTTAAAATATAATATGTATATATATATATATAGACATGTCATTTTCCGTAATAGCGTTATAATAACAATAATATTATTAATAATAATATATATATATAATTATATATAATATGTATGAATGTATGTATATACATATAATATACATATGACATATATGCAGCGAATTGGCACTCAATTAGTACATGTATGCATATATATATATATGTGTTTTAAAGATGTGAATCTAGATAGTATCCGATATATCGTTGATACCCGAGTGGGACTGGAGATGTGTCGTGGTTTTATCCAAAAACGAAGGATGACTGGCCCAATTTATGGCAACAAAATAATGGGGAACAGATAGGCAAATATTTGGCGGTAGCATATCTTTTGACACATGGTTGACATGATAAACCAACTTGCTGGCGCAGCATAGGTTGAGGAATCTGGATACTTCAACGAAGAAAAAACCGTGGATCTGAGCATACCAAAGAAACTCTTTGGTGAATTGTTGATGATGGGTTGAACAGAGTCCAGAAAACTCGACCATTTCAAGATCTAGGAGAGTTTTCAGAGTCCCACTTTGGCTGCTACATCCTCCCTTCCAAGTATAGACCCACAAAACATTAGGTTACCGCAAGTACCTTAAGATATCAATTGAGGTAAGTTCAGAGTCTAGGGGTCCCTACTTGGTGGATCCTGCAAATTTGCAGGTCAGCACCTACTTTTTTACAAGGTAACTAGTAACTAGTAACTAGTGGGAGCTACTTAAGTAGTAAGCACTAAATTCAGAACTGGTTGGTGGTTTGGAACATGTTTTTCCCATATATTGGGAATCTCATCATCCAACCTGACGAAGTCCATGATTTTTCAGAGGGGTAGGTATACCACCAACCAGTAGATTATTGGATTGGTTTAAGGGAAAAATTACAGGAATCTTTTTTACCATTAAATTGAGGGTTTTCCTGTAAATGTTTCCCGTAAAACCAATCTTAAGACTGGCTTTCCAGGATAATCCAGATTTTTTCATGGACTCGATGCGATGGATCACCCTGGATCAGGAGGAAGAACAAGGGCTCCTGCCCGAGCCGGCGAAACCCTCGCGTTTCATGGACCAGCACAAGACGATGCTGAGCTGATGTTTGCACATGGTGGTGCCTCCCAGTCATAACTTATAAGTTGGTTTATAAATCCCATTGACTATACTGTAGAAATACATATATTAACTATACTGTAGAAATACATATATATTATATATATACGTATCATCAACCCTAGTTATTTGAATTATAAACCAACTTAGGTAACTATGGGCACCACCCTGTAGGAATGGAATCAATGGAATTTATGGGAATTTAACAATCAAAAACCATGAAACAAATAGCAATCATCAAATATTATAGGTACTTACCCAACGAATAATGCATAAATTGCCGGTGTGTCTGAAAATACTGCAGTGCATGGGCACAAAAAATGCAACACAACCTTGAAACTGATAAAGAAGCAGTGCATTGATTTTCAGACAAAGCCATGTGGGTAATCCCATGGTTTTACAACTCCACGGGGATAGGCTGGGTGTTTCAGGATGCAGCCTGTCAAAGGGAACACTATGACAAACCATGTTTTTTTGGGGTTCAAGGGCAATGGTGGACACGCAATGAGTGTCTTTGTGGCATCGATTATAGGTGCTGAAGATGTCGGACAAGCGACTTCAAGGAAGCTTCCATTATCAATGGGAATTTCAGGATCCTAAATTGGAGGTACCTACCATATATAAGGCCTATAGAAGGCCTATGTAACATAGTAAGGGAATATACCCACAAAATATGGCCTTATATGGTACAGTACCTCCATTTTAGGATCCTGGAATGACCATTGACATTGGTTTGCCATCAAACAAATAGACTAATCCCTTCCCCCGTCCATATTAGACACCCACCAGAGTTACCATGGTTGAGTAGGCAATGAAATCACTTATTTGGGACCATTTAGGGTTGTGTTTAATATTAGAGGGATGGGATTGAGAGATTGTTTTTCCCCATTGAACTGAACATTGCGACTCCTCAGCCAAGCCCTTTCGATACAGGGAGTCATCTAAAGTCCCTGAAACTACCGGCAGCTTCTAGATAGACTATCAATATCTTGATCCAACGTAATTAGGTCGAGTAGCCATCATCTAAAATATTAAGATACGTACAAGAGTATATCTTAGAATATAACTTATAAACATGATGTGGTACCATTCTGTACCTAGTGTCCTAGTACCTTACAATATCTGGCTCCAGCCATGCGACCGCAGCCTGCGACGCCTTAGGATGCTGCCTCTGGTGGCGCAGAAGCTCTCCGAGGTCTCCGCTCCGCACAAGCTGTACTCCAAGGCTCCTCGGGCTCTGAAACCATGGGAAAAGCGATAGGAGACCCGGGGAACATGGGGAGTTCAAGCCATTTAGATCCATTTAGCAATTATAGATGGATAGAAATGGGGTTATTTCATCCAGAAATTGGACTTGTAACTGACTTAACCGTGGTAAAGGCCATGACTGTAGGGTTCATGAGGACAATTAATATCATACCAGTAAGAATATCATGGCGCTTCAGTAGGGCCTTTAGCCGGGATTTGAGTTGTGTGTCTGAAAATGGGGTATACCCGGCAAGATTGGGGAAGGCCTTATTCGGATGTTAGTCACAGTTCCGAACTGTTCATTTTGGTGAACTACTAAGATGTATCCAGGAACATTGTTAACAGCCTGAAAAAATAGTATATTAGTGCAGGATAAAGTTAGGAACATTGGTTAACAACTATAAACAAATGGGGATATAAAAACTTTTCAGGTTGATTAATATACCCATTGTATTCTTGTATGGTTGTACTGGAAAAAAACAATTACCTTCAATTACCTTTCTTCGATAAAGCATGAGCATTCCGACCAGCCGAAACCGGCGATGTGCATCCAAGTCAATAATTGTGACCCACCGTAGGTATACATGGCATGTGTATGCATGTATCTATATAATATTTATTGATAGTATATATATATATATATTGACAATATGTGTATATATATATATCATAGATCCTGCAAGCTGATATACTGGAACTAAGTGAATTCATCATTTCCCAGTTCACTTGGCCCAGGTCTTGCCTGGTTTCAGCCGCCCGCCCTTCTTGATCGTGATCCCCACCTACGGTCGTCCTGATCGCCTGGTTCGCGAAACCTTGGCGTTCTTGAGGAGGCAAAAGATTCCGCAGAATCTCATCGAGCACCTTGGGCGTTGTTTTGTTAACTTGGGTACCAGGAATTGTGCACGTTATAGCATACAATAGCAGTAGCATACAATAGCTATATGGAAAATGGTCCATCTGGATGATAATTCCTGATAGTTTTGGAAAATGCTCCTTTTTGGCTACTAGGTGATTGACCGATTAAATAGGGTGATGTTCCATGGCTTTTTGTTGAATAACCAGAGGGCATAGGTCAAAATTTAGGGTTTTTCGGTCAAGATAGAAAAGGCTTAGGGTTTTCCCGCTTAAAATTCTCTCCGTGTTTACCCTCTGGTAATTTGTCGCGTAGCTAGTGAAAATTGATTTACCCATAAAAAATGGTGATCTTTGATAGTTATGTAAACGCTTACCAGAGGGTAACCATCCAACTGTCGGGGTATCTGAAAAAAATGACCCATACCTGATGACGGTTGAAGCTTAATGAAACGGGCTTTTGCCAAGATAAACAGGCTATTCTACCTGCCACAACACGTAGGAAACATTTCCATTTTGAGAAAACACAAGTGGGGTTATGCAATGATACTAACTGGCTGAAAGAAGGATTTTGGTAATAACAAATCCTGGTCTCTTACCAGCAGAAGACACTGTTGTTCAAGAAAGACTCACGCGGAAATCGATGCAACTGTTGATTTTTTTCATCACGAGTCAATACCCAGAAGAATTTGAGCGAAACTTGGCGGTAAACACTCAAATAGTCCGTTCCACAACTACTGTGGGGATTTTACAAGGTCATAAACACCCGTATTTTTGATGGTTTAAGTTACCAGCCATAAAAATGGTGATTTTGGGGATGGTTCATCAGGGTGAACTCGCCACGGATGTTTTCCCGTGATTGTGCCATTTTCCTGGTGCTCTGGTACTCAAAGATGGCTTAAGCTGGAAAATTAATCATTTATTTATTTATAGATAGATAGATAGATAGATTTTCCCAGCTACAAACCTCCATGGTTCCTTCGGGGATAGCTTCCAGCTTTTCATGGCAATGATGACAGTGTTTTTGCGTCCCAGCAAGCATCAGTTAGATAGCCGGCGTTGAAGGGAAACTTTGCAGCAAATCCATGGAAATCAGGAATTCTCATGGGAAAAGCCATGGTTTCTAGTTTCTGGTATAGATGTTCCCTTAAACCATGGCCATCCCTATGACCAATAGCATCCATTTCAATGGTAGATAATGGTAGATCACTCGACCTACACATTTGAGGTAAAATTGGAGAGTAAATGTGGACATGCGATGCCTAAGGGTGTGAGTTGGTCACTACGAAAGGCAATATCAGACCTGACACAGGAACGATGGGACACGGTATCTCCCGGATTATCTTCAATGGTATGGTGGTTGCCGCAGGTGTGCTTAATTCTGTTGAGACATATGTATTTATGCAAGTTGTGAGAAATGCCCTAAGGAAGTGTTCAAGGAAGGCAATATACATTAAGATGATTAACACTCGCTTCTGACAAGTAAAGTGTTGATTCAAAGTGCTCATATATTTGATTTACATTGGTAACGCATAGTTAATTTCAAAATGTCCAACAAGTTTTTCCCCACCTGCCAGGTGAGGGTTGTTAGATTTTATCTAAGTTGCCTGGTCCTCCTCCTCCTCCTGCCGCCTCCTTCTCCTTCTCCTCCTCCGCCTCCTCCTCCTCCTCTCGTTGTCCTCCTCGTCCTCCTGCTCAACTGCGACTCGCGATCCACAGTGTTCGCTGTCGGACCTCAACCACGACCATCCAAGCCCAGTGTTCCCTGCCGGACCTCAACCACGACCATCCACGCCCAGTGTTCCCTGCCGGACCTCAACCACGACCAGCCACGCCCAGTGTTCCCTGCCGGACCTCAACTGCGAGTATCCACGCCCAGTGTTCCCTGCCGGACCTCAACCGCGAGTATCCACGCCAAGTGTTCCCTGCCGGGCCTCATGTAGGAAGATAAAATGTCAGATAGAGTGCCAGAAGATTTGCCAGGTAGAATGCCAGAAAATATGCCAGAAGATATGCCAGATAGATATGCCAGAAGATATGCCAGAAGATATGCCAGATGATGCCAGATAGAATGCCAGATAGAATGCCAGAAGATATGTCAGAATATATGCCAGGAGATATGCCAGATAGAATGATAGAATGCAGAAGATATGTCAGATAGATGCCAGAGATATGCCAGATAGAATGCCAGATAGAAAGCCAGATATGTCAGATATGCCAGAAGATATGCCAGATAGAATGCCAGAATAGAATGTGCCAGAAGATATGTCAGATAGAATGCCAGAAGATATGCCAGAAGATAGAAAGCCAGAAGATATGCCAGATAGAATGCCAGAAGATTTGCCAGATCATATGCCAGAAGATATGCCAGAAGATATGCCAGAAGATATGCCAGAAGATCAGAATATATGCCAGAAGATATGTCAGATAGAATGCCAGAAGATATGCCAGAATATATGCCAGAAGATATGCCAGATAGAATGCCAGATAGAATGCCAGAAGATATGCCAGAAGATATGCCAGATAGAATGCCAAATAGAATGTCAGAAGATATGTCAGATAGAATGCCAGAAGATGTGCCAGTAAGAACATGTATAAATGTCATGGTGGGGATCACACGAAGTAAAGTATTTTTTTTGCACGTTTTACCATACATCGGTTATCAAAATGCACACGATGGTTTTCCAAAAGTATCCACAAGCCAAGGAAGCCTCAATCATACTCACATATCTCCACAGTCCATCACAGTATTTCATAGGATATATCCGATATGGCTGTGGATAGCTGGTTCATACTTGGACCTGTTTTACCAGTTTTTTTCGGTTCCAAAAAGCCATTGCTGACAGTCATGGATCATCCCCTAAAGATCATTGGAGTAAATCCCTCAAATGATTCCCAGATTCTTATGTTTCTTCAGGAGTTTCAAAGCCAACTATATAGCATGCTTAGAACCGCTATGGAGTTGGTCAAAAAGTGGCTTGTACCCTCTGGTAAACTAACATAGCTATGGAAAATCACCATCTTTAATAGGTAAATCAACGCACTAAATGGGCAATGTTCAATAGCAAACTGTTAGTCATTACCAGAGGGTAACCCATGAAATATACCGCGATTGAAAGTGTGTTGTTTAGATACAGTCCAGTTAAGTACACGACTAGACATGATTTAAGTACCTCGATGGACCAATCCACACAGAGGCTGGTGCCCCCAAGTTGTAGCTCGGTGTGTAAAACCCATCAACGATATGTATATAAACACATATAAAAACACAGCGTAAGAATCCGTAAGACCCATTTATTATAGAGCTCTTATGTTCTAAACATTTCTAAACCAACTTATAGCTATCATATGTCAATGAATCAACTATCAATCCCCCCTACTTGTTTTTCTCTTTGAAATCACCACAACTTTGACCTTCCACGGATCGCTCCCCGGAATCCCCAAAGGATTTGGCTAGCGCCTGGCCATGCGCCCGGGCAGAAGTTCTCGGAACGGGAGCGCTATGAAAAGGCCCTGGCACCTGAGTGGCCGGACGTGCACATCCGATGCCTGGTTCGTGGATGGGCCAGGGTCAAGTTTGGTTGACTAGATATCTTAGATACCCCTTTTCTGTCAAATATGGAGGTGTCATACGATCTTTCGGGATATTAGGTGGATATACAAGTTGCAGGGTGAAACTTGTTTTGCTATAGATACATTATTAGATACTATGGATCAGTACCCAGAACTAACTTCTGCAGGGATACGGGTTTTGACCCATCCTCATATGTGGCTGGTGTTTTTTTAAAGAAGTGTTTATCTTCCACCCTATTTGGCATGATAATCCCAAGTGACGAGCATATTTCTGGGGTTGAAACCACCAACCAGTTTTATGTTTGGGGTTGAAACTGCGAAACCACCAGCCAGTTTTGTGTTAGGTTTTGATGGATTATAGTGATTGGTTATGATTGATGATAGGGTTTCTTGGAAATTCTACATGTTGTTATATTCATGTGCCATAAAATTGGTTGCAGCAATTTAATGCCCGAAGCCTTCAAACAACTTGCAGATAGATATATGACAGCAAAGTGACAAGAACTATGAATGTCGAACAGGTTTCTTTGTATGTTATATTGTGTGTGTGTTTGTTCGCTAACACACTCGTTCGTTTACTTCCAATACAATATATTGAGATGCAAACCCATAGTCATAGTCAGCAGAGATCTTGCCATATTTGTTACGTGGATACATGGGATGTTTGAAAATTACTGACACACACACAGTTTTGAAAACTGGTCTTCAACACAGATGTCTGCTTCCTCATCATCAGGACATATAGCTTTGGAATCACACCTTGAAGTCGATCTCATTCGAGATGATATTACAGATTAGTTCTTTTGCTGTCCAACTTCGTGACCAACACAAGAGGCCAGCTGTGGATGAAAGTCAACCATGTTTAGTCGGTGGTCACCGTGCTTAGGAACCGGAGTGAAGGGAGTGATGCAGCAGAGAATCTGGGCCACTTCGTAAGGGATCCCCAGGTCACGATGGGTTTTAATACTATAGTTTGGTCTAATGACATGGGCCCCGGGGTAGCCTTATTTTTCATGATTTTTATGAAACCTCCATGTCTCCGATAAGTCTTTTGAGATTCATGATCCATGGTCTATTTATTGGTTGCCAGATTCTTGGATTCTTTTGTGTTTTGGTTCGTAGTCTTACAATGTCTTACACTATTTACCCTAGTAGAAGGAATATGCGACCTTTGTTTCGGAGGATGTGACATATAGAAACGATCCTTTGCCATCCAGCATCGGGTTCACAAATAGGGTACCTTTTAGAAGACCAACATAGCTACGGAAATTCAGAGATTTCCCTTGAACATTATATATTTACATTCCAGGTGATTTGTTTCTCAGAAATATAATATAATATATATATATATGTGTGATACATACAAGATCTTTACTATCTAGTATATATATAATATAGTGTATATATAAATCATATATATATATTTATTACATTTGATATAATATTTAATATATATATAATATTATAATATATTATTATATTGTATAATACAATATAATATAATATAATATGATGTGATATAATATAATATATAATGTAACATAAGATAAACTAATTTAATATAAATTGTATATTGTATATAATATAATGTTTTATTTTTTTAAATATTATATAATACAATATGAAGTAAAATAGTATAATATAACATAGTATATATTTAATATAGTATATATAATAAAATATGATATCATATTATAATATTATAATATATTACAGTATAAAATAAACTAATATAATATAGTATAAAATATAATATAATATTTTTCATACAATATAAAATAGAATAATATAATTTAATATAGTATAAACTATTATATAATATAAGATCATCTAATATGATATAATATAATATCTTACTTTACAATATAATACAATATAAAATAATAATAAAAAAACATATAATATAATATAATACAAAACATATAATCTAATATAATACATAATATAATATAATAAAATATAATAAAATATAATATAGTATAATATTTAATATAACATAATATAGTCTATGATATAATATAATATGATATAATATCATATAATACAATATGATATAACATATCATAAAATAATATTATATAATATAATTTATATTATGCAATAACTATATAAAATAATATAACATAATATAATATATATGTCAATGTGCACTGAAGGCTACCCTCAAATCCACGATTTTCAGTTCAGATGTGTTGATCCCTTTGCACCTTCCGACCCCCTACTGACATGGCTTGAAACTGATGATTTTGTGGCCATCTGGGTGCCATCTTTGAAAATGGTCATTAATAGTTGATTTACCCATTGAAAATGGTGATTTTCCATAGTTATGCTGGTTTACCAGAGGGTAATTCATCCAGAATTATCCATGACATTCCCATAAATATCCAATTAATGTGATTAAAACAATGCCATAAACCACCCATGACTGGGAACGGTTTGAATCACACCTATAAAAAATGGTGATGACTGGGGGATGGTTTAAATTGTTGTACTGCACATTAAGCAAATAGGCAATTTGGTCACCTATTGATCATGAAACTGCTACATCGTTTGAATTGTGTGGAAAATTGTGGAAGGGTTTTTGGTTTGATTAACTATCCCTAGACTTCCAGTTGCATCTCAGATCAGTAACCATTGTGATTTTACCTCATGAGTTCTGGGTTGGTTGGTTACCTGTTTGACAGGTAACTGGAAGATGATATGGCTAGGATCACTCCAACGTGATGAGGTAACATTATCCTGCAGATACATTGGAGAGCACAAAACAACCGACCCCATCCTGCATGCCGTTGACTCTTTTGCCAACGTGGCAGGGACCATTTTAGACCCCTGCCACGATCTTGGCCATATGTTTTGTCTTAAAGATTCCACAATGTGAGGCCCCCAAGATATAAGTTGGTTTAGATTCGCCCCAGTAACTAGTTCGTTATAAATACCATAAACCATAGTTATTGGAGTTATGTTCACCAACTTAGCTATCGAGCGGGGGCCTCACATTGCAGGAAATAATCGTTGGCTGTACTCCCTTTTGCACCCTTCACGAGCCAAGTTGACATGGATTCCCATTGTCATTGGAAGCCCAGGAAAGAAAAAAGGGTGATGCCCCACAGTTGGTTATGGTTGGTTTATAACCCCCATGAACTATTGACTACTGTTAATGCATATGATATTGTTACCAAGACTCCTAGTTATAAGTTGTAACCACACACAGCTATCACATAGCAACTAGCAATTCCCCATGTTTCTGCTGGTGAAGTCACAATGTTTGCTGGTGAAATCACCATTTTGCTGGTGACCTATCCTTGGAATCTGAGGACCACCGCAAGTACAATTACCCTCTGGTTATGACTGTTACAGTTTGCCATGGTTAAGCCATGGCCCATAGATTTATAGATGGTTTACCTATTAATTAATAGCATGGTGGGTTTCTTTCCATGGCGAACTGTAACAGTCATAACCAGATGGTCGAGTTTCCCATTTCCCCAGAAATCATGAACTGAGGATGGCGAATAGGCCTGGCGCATCCCGAAGGAATGCATTTGGTGTCCTTCGACGACGACATCCCGGAGGTCTTTGAAAAGATCAAACCTGGAACGTCTTCAGACACGATGCAACCCTTGGCACCTGGGATGCAAGGCGTCAGAAGTGAGACGTTCGTCAAGTTGGGGCCCTTTTCTGTAGATGTCAATGGGGTCCTGAATGGGGTTACTATAGGATCTATAGGATCCTAGGGTGTGATATCGGGTTTAGGTGGGCTTTGATACAGGCTTTTTGGCTACGGATATATCATGATACATCTATAGTCAGGTTGGTAAACCAACAGACATTTCGCTGTAAAAGATTAGTGTGTGGAGACCCTCAAGAAGACCCACGGCTAAACATACGTTGGTCTTCCTGAGCGACTGCTAGACCCCCGGAATCCAACATGCAACCCTTTGAACCATGTTGTTTGAAGGGGCTTCTCCTGACATGGCCCATATTTCTTTGTTGCTTCCCTAGACGTTTGCGTGTGAACATGCAAGCGTCCTTGCCATTGCCAGCATGATTCAGAAGCTTGACATGGTTGCCGTTTGCCTATAAAAAACATGCAGCAGAGGGCTTTATAAGGGATCTACTATTCTCCCAGCAATTACCTTAAGTATTGTTCTGGTGCACCATCGGAAGCCCCAGCTTGAATGGTTGGAGTTTGTCAAACCCATTTAGGTATGTCAACTCACCCATCCAAAAAAAGCCTTCTGACAACGGGCGTTGGGAAACGCCCTGCAAGGAGGCAGGAAGTTTGGAGGCCATCATCCACCACGCGCGGGATCTGATGCATCAAGAGGGTTGCTACATCTGGGGCCTCGCCCCTTCGGCAAATCCTATGAATCTCGTGGTGAACAGGCCCCGCAAAAGAGGGGAACCTGGATGGGAAATGCTGGGAGATTTTGAAGGTCGAAGTATGGCGATCCGAAATCTGTGGTGCAAGCTGGCAAAGATATTCTGGGTCGAAGTTTAGCTATATCACATCCCTATTATATATATATATACATATAATATATATATATATGCATCCGAAGTACTTCCTGACACGCTATGAATCCCTCAAATCACCCAAAACATTTCCTCGGAAGGTACGGCTGGGTCCATGGGGCAAAGCATCTGTGAATGGGACCTGGAAGGTTGACCGGTGAATTTCATTTTTGGGATCCCGACTCTGAAATATACGCCGTGAATATGGAGGTTGGCTAAGTCATGGGGGTACCCCTAGTTATCCATTTATAGATGGATTTTCCCTTATAAACCACCAATTTTTGGCTATCCCCATTTATAGAAACCTCCATCTAGCAAATTATATAGCAACATTTTACAGCGATCCCAAACATTGCCAATTTCTGGTTCGTGATGTATAGTGATTTGATACTCATCTGCCGAGGTTCACATGTCGTTTTAATCACCAAAGGCTTATTAGTTGTTGATTACAGAATTACGCGTAAAAGCACACTTAAACAACAATTACACCAACATACTCAAATCAAGGCAACCTCACTGACATTTTTTAAAAAAACCTCTGTGTTCTTAAGTCAAGCTAAGATATCTGGTTGGTGGTTTGGAACATGCCATTAAAATTCCCATTAGATCCTATTAAACCACCATAAAATCCCAATAAACCACCATTAAATATATGTTTTGCTGGTGTTTTCCTGGAAAACAACCCACGCTGAACGGATGGCATTTTTTTCTAAAACTGCAGGATCTCCCGTCGCAATGGCATGGTGAACGGCTTTGCCTACGGCTACTTGAACCGTCATGATGAGCGTCTTGGCATGGCTCGAATGGCTGAGCCCTGAAATCATGGGGGAATTGGAAATGCCCTGGAACTATAGACACTACTTCTATTGTTCTATATCTGATTTGTGGTTAATAGTGGTTAATAATGGTTAATAGTGGGTTAATGGTTAAGAGTGTGTATATATATATATATACTGTTTGGTGCTTTGGAACCATGGAATTTTATGACTTTCCATATATTGGGAATAGTAACCCCAACTGACTTTCATATTTTTCAGAGGGGTAGGTCAACCACCAACCAGTTATTGTTGATGGTTCTTGTGGGTAATGTCATTCTCTTTTTATTGGCGGGGGCGCCTTATGATCAATAAAAGTGGGAGATGTGAGGAGGAACTGTCTGGTCGTTTCAAGTATGTGTTGAAAAAATATGGTTTTGAGGATGGGAAGTCGCAAATTGATTAGTTTTCTTTGAGATGGGTTAAAAGCACCAACGAGGAACTTTGTTTGGTCATCAAAAAAGGGCATTGATTTTTGAGGAGAAGTTATTGTGTGCCTGTTTTTGTTGCTTATCCTCCAGATAATTTATGACTTATCACAATACATATATAATATGAGTCATCATATAATTATCATAATACATATATATATATATAATTGTATATAGTAAGAATGGAACCTATATATATATATATTCACAGTATAGAATCTTATCAAAGTGGATCAACATCCAGGGCCTCCTTTTTTCTCACCCTTTCCTCAGGTGCTTCCAGAGTTTGTACTGCTCCCCCACGGAAGATGTGGAACGGAGCTGTCGTTTTTACGAGAAAGATGGCGTCCCTTGACGCTTGAGATCAACTAGCAGAAACTGAGGGAAGCTACGCTCTGGTTATGACCAACATAGCTATGGAAAATGGCCATTTATAGTGAGTTTTCCCATTGAAAATGGTGATTTTCCATAGTGATGTTAGTTTACCAGAGGGTACCTGATCACATGATCATCGGGCTTAGTAAAAAAAGGGAAACCCTACAAGAAACCTCTCTATTTGATTATTAAAACATATGGTTTCCGGTGAAGATGTTTCCTTTAACCAATCCAATGACATCAGCAGTGGTTTAAAGTCACATCTGGTGGGTCATTGAAAAATCAATCCACTGAGCCTGGCTGACAGGTGCTCCAGTCTTCGTTGTTCAATGGAAAATCATCATATCTTGTGATTATGACTGATGATAAGTGAATTACTGGTTGGTGGTTTCGAACATGAATTTTATTTTTCCATAATATATGGGGATAATCCTCCCCATTGCCTAATATTTTTCAGAGGGGTTCAAACCACCAAGCAGGAATTATATCGTGAATATATGGTGATTCATATCTTATATATTTACCATACACCATATAATCATATCTCATATCTTATCATCATATGGTGAATATCTCTATGGTTATAACTGGTGAATTTATTGATGAAAGATGGAGATTTTGATCGGAGAATCATCTATAAACGTTGGATTGTCCATTGCCACGTTCATCTTATAATATAAATACGTACCCTCTGGTAATTTAACATAACTATGGAAAATCACCATTTTTAATGGGAAAATCCACTATAAATGGCCATTTTCAATAGCTTTTTGTATGTTTACCAGAGGGTATTCATAAATCCATTGCATCCATTTGCTAGTAGCATCCGCTACAAGGTGATTCCCAGTTATAGCCATAGTGACATTGACCATAGAGATATTCACCTATTATGACATATTATAATCATAACATATCATAGATGAATTCACCAGTTATCACCTTTTACCATAGCTATACAGTGTATAAATGCCGTTAACCATAGATGTATCTACCATAAACAACATATTTCTCACAGAACCTGCGCCTTGAAATGCGCAAAACGTGTTTTTTTCTCCTCAGGTGCTGCTGCGGTATTTGATGTATGCCGCCCGAACCAAGTTCAAAGCGCCCGATGGGATCAGTTTGTTGTCCTTTGGTGGCAATTTGGAGATGTCCTAAAATTGTTAATCAGGGGAATTATCCCAATATGGCCTTATTTCAGGTTAGTGAAATATTATAATTTACCCATATATATATATAAATACATAATATACATATCACATACACAAATATTATGATTTACCCAGATGGATATTGGTTTTAAATATAAGGGGTGTTCCATAGCGGGAGATCTCGGGACCTCCAAAATTTCTGGATGGTTTGGTTCATGGAAAATCCATCAATGATAACTAGGGTAGCCCCATGGATTGGAAAGCTCCATAGATTTGCCAAATGATGTACAATCCCTATGGATCCAAACACTTCCTGAGAAGGTACTTGGATCCATAGGGAATTAGTATCAAGCTATATAGTACATATATGTTGCCCATCAATCCGGTATATATTCCTAAATACTACCGGAGTACCCCCATGGATTGGAAAGCTCCATATGTGGCAATGTGTTTTTGGTCTGTTGCGCTTTAATGGGCTGAGACCGAAGAGACCGAATCTAAACAAATCTGAAAAAACAAATCCACATGTGTTGTATGTCTTGGGGTGATTTTTAATTTGGGTTTATCAAAAGGATTACCCTCTGGTAAACTAACATAGCTATGGAAAATCACCATTTTTAATGGGTAAATCCATTATATATGGCCATTGTCAATAGCTATGTTAGTTTACCAGAGGGTAATGGATACAACCATGGTGAGGTGCCATATAAGTTGCAATATGGGGCCACGATAATTCTGAATATCGAACCACTTCAAGCTGGAATTGCAACCCAAGTCATAGGTAGAACAGTGGGAAAATCTGGAACTACTTGTTCAATATCATCAACCTAGCATCCTGGAAACACTCTTGGCCATCTGTTTGGGAGTAAGGCAGGGAAACTGGCTAAATCTGTTTGGGAGTATGGCAGGGAAACTGGCTAATATATCATATTATATATATATATATTGATTCATGCTAGCAAAAAAAAAACACGTCTGAGACGGAGGCTGAGTTCCTATGGAAATATACATTATATACATGGTATATGTCATCTTCGGTGCCGGTAGACTTGAGGTCCCTCGAAGACCTGACTTCTGATGGATGCCATTTTTCATCAAGGGTGAATCCTCAGGTGATCAAGCCCTTGGCTGCTCCATATATCATTGGGATAACTATTGGGATAAATATTGGGATACCCTCTGGTAAACTAACATAACTATGGAAAATCATCATTTTCAATGGGTAAATCCACTATAAATGGCCATTTTCAATAGCTATGTTAAATTACCAGAGGGTATAATGGGATTGTAATGGGATTATAATGGGATTATGATATATGATGGAGTTATAAGGGGAAAAATATTGGCATTATGATATGGAGTTATAATGGGAAAATCATCTATCTGGGTAAATTTCATCACAACCGAGCCCTGTTCTCCCAAGCCCTGGGAATCATATGGAACTTTTCAGGTTAGTGAATTATTATAATTTATCCAGATATATGGTAGAGAAAAATCATGCGAGTCCATCTGGGGAAACATCTGGGTAGATCTTCCATATTATGATTTACCAACGTCGGAACACATATGAAACCCAACATGATATATGTCATTAATCATAATATCGGAACATAAGAATTGCAAGGATTTCAGAGTTGGTTTCGATATGATTTGATCTGTTGTTGCATCTTGGTGTCCTGATTCAAGGTCACCAGCCACCAGTTAGGTATGAGAATGCCCGCGCTCGAAAGCTTGACGAAGAGGCGCACAAATAATATTGTTTCAAGTTGCTATATGCATGAATACATATATATATATATTCACTGTATACTGTAACCACAGACGGAGGAATGTAGATCGAAACAAAACTTAAAGGATTTCCATGGTCGACTACTCTGAGATTTTATCTGGAAATATACGACGGGGTCTGACCAAAAAGACACGTGAAATATGATGATGAAGTGGATATCGCGGCCATCCATGTTAAATGTATACGCATGAGTGAACATTTGGTGGGGAGGTCATGGTAGCTGGTAAAAGCATCTGGTTTCTTTTGTAAGTTTTTAGTATATGTAGTCAGTAGTCAGCAATAAAGTGTCGTGTTGGCAGATTTTGGAGGATCCACTTGATGTTTTTGGATATAACATCTAATCTTAGAGATGTCAACCACCTAAAACTCATGAATGACATTGGAGGGCATCACATTAGGGGTATTCAAACATGTTCAAAACACTGTAAACCCACAGAAAATCGCAGATTTGAATCATTCAAGTAGGTATCGCCTGGGTTTAATTAACTTTACAGGCTGGGTATCACCTAATGTTAATCACCAGATTGTTTGTGCCTGATCAATACTTAAAGTCCGGTACAGGCATGCCCCACAGTAGCCAAACTAGACGGAATCTTCCAAAGGCACCCAATTCCAGACATGTTCAAAACACATGGAACAAACTTTGCGTTCAGCTCGATGTTGGCCGGGGGGAGCGTATTTGTACACATATGTACATATACATATATACATATATATATTCAGTTGGTAGATTTTGAATATTGATCATTGCCCAGCATTTCTCCTTAAACCACCAAAGCTCTTTGGGCAAAAATCCTACAGATTCTTTCACCGCCAAAAAACGCGACGCATCACATGTTTCGTGTTGTTTCACCACGACTCTTGGTGGTTCCACCCACCTGGTTTGCTCCCTGGCCACGGCACGACGGCACGATGGCAGGCGGCGATTGTGAAGATCAGCGACGAGTTCCCGCATCTCCTGCAGGTTCGGACTGGCGAGCGGCGAAGGAAATCGGAGGAGGCCATGAATTTCACCTTCATCAGCAGCCTGGTTGGGTTGGGAAATCAAGGAGGTACCCGAAATGGTAAACGTTGAGATAAAAAACTATGGAAAATCACGAGGTTTAATGGGAAAATCCACTATAAATGGTCGTTTGTAGGGGTTATAACTTATATAAGCTAAAACATTTGGGGATATAGTTGACAACTGATGGATGATAACTGAATGGGCCATGAACAAAATACCATCTGGTAAACTAAAAATGTTCTATGGAAATCACCATTGTTTAAATAGTAAATCATCTACAAATCGGCCATGGCTTCCATATCTATGTTAGTTTACTGGAGGGTACCCCATTTTCCCACCTAATTCTACCAGCTCATAGGTTTCCCTATTGGTTATCTCATAGTCCCTAAGCCAGGGAGTAGAACTCCCTATAACCAATCAGCAAGGGTATTTTTACTGGTTCATGTGGGTTTGATTGAAAACCTGGTAATTACTCAGGCAACAAATGGTTGAAATTGCCATTCTCACCAGTGAGAAAGTGCCATTTAGGGGCATTGTCCCATTTTTTGACAACCCAACTGCGAATGGGATTGGGAAGACTATGGAAGACTTGAGATAGTTAAGATTTGCGTTATAATATGTGTATACATATAGTGTGTAATATGTGTATATATATACACATATATTATGTAAATTCATAAATTGTGAAAAAAACATTCAAATTTGTTTAATACATTCAGATTGTGTACATACATCTAATTTTGAGCAACAAATCAGCAGCTTGAAAGTATAGCTACAGATTGTTTCCTTTAAATGTGTGTTTGACAGATTTCCAAAGCCATTCAACTTGGGGGTTTAAGGAGCAAATTAGCACAGAATGATGCCCCAGTTTGCTAGCTAGATTGCTTAGAATAAGTAGGTTGGCAGGCGTGCTTGTGATGGATATGGGGATGGGTGAACCCAAAATAGCTGGTAAATGGATGTTCATCCCACTAAAAATGTATCTATAGGTATTGACCCATACCCATATGTCCATGCTTAGGTTGGTGGTTTATACACCAACTGCAACATATGTAACTTGGGGGGAAGGCAAACAAATTGGATGTAAATCTCACATAAACCAATGGTTGGTGGGTTCAAACTGTCCTATCGTGCCTGTACATAATATGATAACTATTATATATATATATTATATGCTTGTATGTGCATACTAATTATGTATGTATATGTATATATATATATACATTATCTATATTGACCACATATATGAACAAATTTAGATACATAAACCATGCATCACCCACTGCAGCTCCCCCCTGTCCCAAGGTATCGGGCAGGGTCCGTTGCTGCCCAACGGCGTGACGACCAAAGCCTGGGCCGCGGGGATCTCCGGGCAGCCGCCCATCGACACGGGCGCCACGGAAACGAAGGAAACGCAGGTCCTCTCGGAGGTCAAGGTTCAGGTCGCATGGGGAGATGGTTAGGGGTGCCATGGAGGTGGTTGGATTAACCAGGGAGATATATATATATATATGTATATATATATGTAAATATGGGTAAATTATAATGACTCAATGACCTCACTGTTTTTTGTGAACCCTGGAATCATGTTTTTTTTTGATGGGAATCATCCCAAAATGGCCCAACAGTTCAGGTTAGTGAACTATTATAATATGCCCAGATGGTTGGGATGGATGGGATGGATGGGATGATTAGCTGGAAATCCATTTTTTTCGACGAAGGGAATAGATGTTAGTATTTTTCTGAAAAGCGAATCGATGTAGTTTGGCCATTTTGAGGGGGTACCCCTTTGACTCGCCAATTGTTGGTGAAGGGTAGTGCAAGGCTTCAGTCTATCCGACCAGAACTGGGGGTATATACCAAGCAGCTAAAAGAGAAAACAGGAACTCCAGACTGTCCAAGGTTGGCTATGCAACCGTGCAGAGATATGGGAAAAGAAAACGGCAATCAGAAGATAAGGGGATGATTTCTTAGTAACCATAGTAAGCCATGGGGACAAATGGGTATGGTAACCTGTAGAAACACATGCGGATGGGGATGTATGTGCCATTGTTGAGAAGAAGGGGTTAGTCATACCCCTATTACCAGGGACTATTCCCATTATGAGGAATCCCTGTTTTTTGTTGCATGAATATAAAGAAATATGCCATGAAACTTGACCATCGATGTGTAAACATGTCGAGTTTCTCTGGCTTTTTGTTACTTCGGCGAAGGATCCGAAGTTGAAGGCGAAGTTGACCAAACAGGCACAAGATGAGAAGGAGTTGCTGGACAAGTGCGTTCAGATCCAGGAGAGTTGGAATGGATATGCCGCCAACTTCCCAGGGTTTTTAAAGGGAAAATCTACAGAATGTGAGGCCCCCAAAAACGATAGCGTTCAGTTGGTGAACATAACTCCAATTTCACTATATGGTTTATGGTATTTATAACTATAGTTACTGGGGCGAATCTAAACCAACAAACATATCTTGGGGGCCTCACATTGCAGAATAGCCTTTTGGTTAAGAGAAATTGACACATGGTGCGGGCCAATTTTTCCAGAAAACCTGTCATTTGATTCTTTTGATTCTCGCAAGAATCATCCATCCTTGAAAGCACGAAAGTTTTCACGCTCCTTTCTATTATTTAAGGGCACCGGTAAACTTTCGTAGCAATCCCCATGGATGGTAACTCAAACATGTCCAGCCCACGTTTATCATGTTGTTTTTTCTATCTTAACGTTGACCAATACATATCTGTTGTTTTTATCTTTCACATTCCTAAAACGAATCATTCCACATGTGGGCATATTATGGGAATATCATAGGAATATCACGGGATATAGAACCAACACTCACCAACAATGCGATTTAGGTTCCCCGGAAATGTGGGAGAAATCCCAAGATATTACCATTTTACGTTCGGTGAACTGTTGATAAACCGTAAGATCTTAGCCACCCAGTTATCTCAATTGTATTACAAGCCCATGTACTAGTTTGATGTACCACACACCCTAGTGATCATGGTGAACTTACTCAACTGAGATAGACACGAAGTCGTGCCAAAACGCCCAGCATTTTTTCTTGGTGAATCATGTGAAATCCCCCTGGTTTTGCATCACATGAAGCCCTCATTTGTTTCCTGGTGAAATCCCTACAATGTGAGGCCCCCGCTCGATAGCGTTCAGTTGGTGAACATAACTCCAATGTCACTATGGTTTATGGATGTTTATGGTATTTATAACTAAGTTGCTGGGGCTTATAAACCAACTTACATTTATCTTGGGGGCCTCACATTGTATTTTGGCATCACCGTTCTCGCTCCAGGAATACTTGCTGGAACAGCAGGAGGCAGCGGAAGATGCGCTGCACACCGGCAAAGCGCCCAAGGAACAGACACAAAGCGTGCAGAAACTCTTGGAGAATGTGATCAACGGGGCCAATGTGGACAAAGTTCCTGGGATTTTCATGGATTTTACGTTTTTGGATGGATGGTGACTGACTTAACAAATTGAAACCATCGGGAATTATGTTCCCAGTTTGGATGGTGACTGACTTAAGATATTGAAACGGGAATTGATGGGAGAGCCATCAAACACATTGGGATTGAACATGATTTACCCTCTGGTAATTTAACGTAGCTATCACAAATCACCATTTTTAATGGGAAAATCCACTATTTCTATGGCCATGTTCAATAGCTATTTTGACATAACCAGAGGGTAACCATCAAACATTACCTGCCACGCTGTCATCGATGGCGAGATGGCGCACTCCATGAGCTAGCCATGGAGGTTTATAGTCATGGGGATATAATTAGTGATGTCATCAATAGGGTATGTATGGGCCAATGTAGCTAAAGTTCCTGTGAATTGTTGAACATTCGAACTTAAGTTTAACTTATCTGTTTTCGGTTTACCCCTCTGGTAAACGTTTACACAACGATGGAAAATCAGCATTTGTTCATGGGAAAATCACCTTTAGCTATGGTGATTTTCCAGTTCGCTATGTAACAGTCATTACCAGAGGGTTTGACTGGATGTTCCTTTGGTTTCTTTGGTATTCCTTGGACTTTTCCCTTGGTTTCTTTATTCTTCCATGGGCCCATGGGTTGCCTGGTAACTCATGAATGGCAGGTCCAGTAAAGCCATCGGCAGTGCAGTATTTGGAAGATATGATTCAGAGAGAGGCAACATGTTCGTGGCTACATAACATATAAAACCGGTGTGATACAAACATTAATTTGTCCGCATGCTCCAAAAGCTTCCTCAAGTGGTACTTCAGCTTTCTCTCAATCATTCTCCAAACACTGCCTCAGAATGTCTTTGGAATTATGTGGATCTCATATATCCAACCTGGAGTCTCTATAGACGCCCGTTTAATATCTTAGAATGGCTATCTTCCACCATTTTGAATATTCCGTGCCCGTGCTCGACTGGATCCAAGGTGATCTTTAGCAAACGGAAGGCGCCAAAGCCAGTGTTGCCTGGCGTCAGTTGGGGACATGATGCTGTTTTTTGGTTGATAAATGGGATTGAATGACTGAATGGGTATTACTTGGGATTTTAAACACCCATCCTCAAGGCAAATCATGGGGGTTTAAGCCATTTAAGAACGTTGAAGATTCTGAATATGTTGACCGGACTCTCTTTGAGACAACATCGAACATGAAATCCGCCCCTGAGCAACTAACAGAATCCCGATCTGGTTGGTGGTTTCATTTTTTACTTTTTATTTTCCATTTCATATATGGGATAATCCTTCCCATTGTCGAACTCATATTTTCAAGATGGTTATCGCACCACCAACCGGAAAACCATCATAAACCCATCATAAACCCATCATAAAACCATATAAAACCATCATAACCCATCATAAACCCATCATAAAACCATCATAAAACTATATAAAACCATATAAAACCATCATAAACCATCATAAACCCATCATAAACCCATCATAAAACCATCATAAAACCATCATAAAACCATATAAACCCATCATAAAACCATCATAAAACCATATAAAACCATCATAAACCCATCATAAACCCATCATAAACCCATCATAAAACCATCATAAAACCATCATAAAACCATATAAAACCCATCATAAAACCATCATAAAACCATATAAAACCATCATAAACCATCATAAACCCATCATAAACCCATCATAAAACCATCATAAAACCATCATAAAACCATATAAAACCATCATAAAACCATCATAAAACCATATAAAACCATCATAAACCCATCATAAACCCATCATAAACCCATCATAAAACCATCATAAAACCATATAAAACCATCATAAAACCATCATAAAACCATGTTTTCCCTTGTATCACCATGTTTTCATGGTTCGCTCCCCAGGTTTTTTCCGCTGCCCAGGCCACCGCAAGTTGAAGCTCCAAGAGCCCAGGTCACGTCCCAGGCGCCGTTGTGGAAAGTTGGGATTTTCAGCATTTCAGTGATCCTCACAATGTGAGGCCCCCAAGATATAAGTTGGTTTATAACTCCAATAACTATAGTTACTGGGGCTTGTAAACCAACTTATATCTTGGGGGCCTCACATTGCACCAGGTGACTTTCAACCTGACATATGGATGTGGGTCAAAATGGAAGACCGATGTGAGACCACAGATGTGAATGTCTAGTTTAGTATTCACCATCCATGGTTGCAATTATTGGGGTAGCCAATTTTGACCCATATGTTTGACCAGGTATAGGCTTTATACTGCCAGATAAGTCAGAAGTCAGATAGACCGCCAGATACCTGACATATTTTCACCAGACTGCCAGATATACTTTGACATTCTGTTTGGCATTCTAGCTAACATTTTATCAGACGTATTTTCCAGACATTCTCTCTGGCATCTATTCTGACATTCTCTCTGACATGGGCACTGCCGAGCGCCGATCCAGCAGTGCCGACTGAGATCTGGCCCTCGCGGTTGAGGTCCGGCAGTGCCCACTGAGGGCGGAGTCCGAGGCTGCCGGAGGAGAAGAAGGAGAAGGAGGAAGGGAAGCAATTCTGATAAAACCGAGAGTCTAGAGACCCTCACCTGGCAGGTGGGGAAAAACTGGTGAACTATGGTGATTCGCTTCCTATACTTGGAGGATCATTCCACGGATCGTGTTAGCATAGTTCGTTCATTATTTGATAGATGGGAAAGCCCACGATTCACTGTCAACTCTGGGCGAGCCCATGTTTACTTATCCGAGAAGCGCTTTGGAGCAGATGGATATCGCAGCGGGTTGAGGGGCAAGTGTCCGATTGAAATCAAGATTGCATTGGGGCAGGCCGTGGAAGCTGGTGTAGTCTTCAGCAAATCATCCATGGAGGGCCTCATGACATCCGAACGCATTCCAAGCCAGTTCAGTGTGTCTATGAAAGTGAAGGCGACAAGATGCTGTGAAACAGGACCGATAGCAACATCGAGCCCAGCGCCTGGAAGTCTGGTGATGCCAGTGGGGCAGCAGGAGTTGTCAACTTGATTACAAGGGATGACAGAGACCGAAGAAACAACCACTTGCGATTCGTGTCATAAGAGATAGGATGGGCATCCACGTCAGGGTATCAACATTTGATGAACGTAGGTTTTGAACATGGGGGAATGGCGGAGGGTCCACATCTATGTTAGTTTACTGGATCGTACATGATTGGAGACTGAATGCTTAAGTTGTTTTTTTGGTTGGTATGTTACCTTGGATGATTGTTTATTTTGCATGCATGAGTTTAGTTCCATCCATATGTGTACATGTGTATTGTTCGTAATCATGAAGTACACACTGAATTTGGATGATAGGATTAGTATGTACATATCACAATGTGGATCAACCTTTGACCCAAGTGTATATACTGTAATGTATCTATATCCAGATTACTGTGTATACTGGGTAATGGTTTACTTTTATATACAGGTTGAATGTGGATGATTATTTGGTGATCCAGGCTACATGTATAGTTTTTTTTCATGCATATCAACCTTTGATGGAAATAGGTTTTACGTGGTGTTACCGGTGTTACCTTGTCTAGTGATACCTGGAATTTGGGGGCAAAAATAACCTAAGAGACCACAGGTTGACTGGCACTTAGTAGAAAACAAAACAAACAAATACAATACATGTGGTACCCGATGATACCATTTCTTTTAAACGTTTTTTTTGCCACTATTTTAAGACTGTTTCTGGCATATCGTATCTATTTATAATCATTATTGTTATTTTTCAACGATTATTTTTTGTTTTTACTTGATATATATATATATATATATATTGTGAATGTTTTAAGTTTCTTAAGCGACTGAATGATTGGACCAGCAGTCATCAAGCCAAGGATTTTTGACGGGGTTCAACCATCGGTAAATAAGCCTACGGCCACTACTCCTGGAAACCAAACAGCGAATAAAAGTCGTCGGCGAATGTTCGGTGAAGATAGTACACATTTCAGCATTTAAAATGATTAGAAAACTGGGATTCATGCTACAGCTATTTTTTTGCAGGGCATCGACATTGCGATGCTGCCTGAAACAACCACGGAAGTAAATAATTACAACATGTCCACGTGCGCTTCGCATCCTAGTCCCGCTTTGTCCAGGTGTGGTGTTCTCGCTCGACTTGAGAATTCCTCTACCATCTGTTGGTTTGTCCCATCCCATAGGATCCATGGTGCTGCTAAATATGGTAACATGGATCCCATCAATATACCCCCTTTATGTTAGCATATATACCAGCACCATGGATCCTATGGGCCTGGTTGGACCCTCCTGTAAGTTCGTTAAAAAATCCCAATTGTTTGTACCCTCTGGTAATTTAACATAGCTATTGAAAATTGCCATTTGTAGTTGATTTATCTATGAAAAGTGGGGATTTTCCATAGTTTTGTCAACGTTTACCAGAGGGTATGTTTTAGTCTGATCAAAACGCCAGCTTCGCTGATATTAATCCGATCTTCATGGGTTCAAATCCATCCTATCTTTGATCCGCTAACGATCCTTAAGGATGTTGACCCATAAATTGGGAAAACCACAATTAACACCAATTTTCCTCTGGGTTCATTTAAATATACAAGGTTTTTGATGGGCGTGTTTTTATATGCGTAAAACAACGAACTACTGCTGGTTGGTGGTTTGGAACATGTTTTTTTTCCATATATTGGGAATTTCATCATCCCAACTGACGAACTCATATTTTTCAGAGGGGTTGAAACTACCAACCAGTACTGTAAAATTTGCTCATTTTTCCATAGCAATGTAAGAAATGACCGGCGTCACGCCGCCACCCCATCTTTCGGTAGGACAATGGCGTCGAGGTCGGCAAGCTCGAGGTGATGAGGTCGCCTGGGATGAGCAATGAACGTGGGGCCGAAATGGGAAACTAACATAACTATGGAACATCACAATTTTTAATGGGACAACTCGCTATTTCTACGGCCATTTTCAATAGCTATGTTAAATTACCAGAGGGTAACAGTTTGCTATGGAAAATTGCCATTTAATTCGTTGAATTCTCCATTAAACATGGTGAAAAAAACATATAAAAACCATAGCTATGTAACAAATTACCAAGAGGGTAAGATATGAATGGACATACATGGAGGTTATGTTAATAGTACATATATATATATACACATATATAACTGGTTTAACCTATGTTTACAACCTATCTATTGTATTCTGTTATAACATATCTATTCTAACCCATCGGGGATATAGGGATTGGTTAAAATCAAATTACCCTATCTGTAGAACATCATCATTTATATTACGGGACAGATTATATTACGGTTTTTCTTTTTTTTACAAGCCTACAGATAGATGATGAGGTCGTTTTTTTTTTTTTCGGAAATGGGAGGTTTGAATGGCAACATCATCTATACGTGGGGAATTTTATATTACCATGATTAATGGTTATGTATGTATGTTACTTGATCATGATGATTAGAACTATTGTGTAAACCACTATTGAGTCATATTTAAAGAGCCATATTCTGAACATCAGCCCTAGTATATGATTATCAGTACTATTCGACGGTTGCTACTTATAATATATATATAATTATATATACATATTTACAGTTATATATAGTTACAAACTATCATCTAATTAATATACTAGTTGTCTAAGTCAAACACATGACAATGACAATCACACTAATGTGGTAAACCCAATGCCATGAACCATAACAGCAACTCTCATTATAAGGGCATATCAAATCGACCAGATTTCAGGGATGTTTCCCCTTTCGGGTCTACTTAACCATGAGTATAATATTCATTACATAATACATCAAAATACGTTTGAACTAATTCGTGATAATGTACCATTCGGGGGTTTCCCAAAATAAGGATACCCCCAAATCATCCAAGTCATTAGACCACGGCTTAGTATTGAAACCTATGAAGACTTGGGGATGCCCAATTTCTCGAGGGAACCACCATTTTGGGTAAAGTACCAACCCTCTACAGATCATGAATCATGATGTATTTCGACGACCTCCTCAGTGCTATAGCTTGAAAAGGTCACGAACAGGGAGGGGAAATATCTTGCTTCCGATTCCCTTGGAAAATAGAGAGGACACTTGTTGTAAAAAGGCATGCAGATCTTGTTGTAGCTGTGTGAAGTATGACTATCTATGACTTAAAGGTGGAATTATATCTTGATTATCCGATTATTTGGGATTTATATGGGACCATCTTTTCATATCTACTATGACTATCTTTATTATATGGGATTCAAAGATGAAATTGGGATGTTCAATGGATGTTTTTTTAGGGGAATAGCGTTGTAAACCCCTTATATGTCATCCACATGAATGGGATCACTATCCCGTGGCTTGGGAAACATAGGTCATCCGCATTTGATTCTTCGCAAGCTACAAAACTGATACCCTCTGGTAAACGTTGACAAAACTATGGAAAGATCCACCATTTTGTAGCTGGGTAAATCCACTATTTCTATGGCAATGATTAATAGCTATGTAACAAATTACCAGAGGGTAATCTACCACTTAAACGAACCGGTGTTTATTAATCCTCGTTTGACGTGAACCATACGGGTTTGATTGAAACATCCGGGAATCACTGGCGGTATCACCTGAAATTTTCAAAAATCCATCATCACCTTTCCTTTTCATACAACAGTGGTTGGTGGTTTGGAACACTGGTTGGTGGTTTGGAACATTTTTTGTTTTTCCATATACTGGGAATGTCATCATCCCAACTGACTTTCCTATTTTTCACAGAGGTAGGTATACACCACCAACCAGATGCCATTCAAATTCCCATTAGATCCTATTAAACCATCATAATATCCCATTAAACCTCCATAAAATGCCAGCCAAAACCACCATAAAATCTCATAAAACCACCATAAAATGCCATAAAACTGGACTGGTTTCAATGATGTTCCAAGATGTTCGACCCTGCAGTGCAGTGGGATTTTCTGATTCCCATTGACAAAATTCCATCATGGCTGGCTTTCAGAATTCTGCTGGTCAAGGTGGCTCATCCAGGATTAACGTGTGTAGATGGAAATTAACGTGTATATATATATACTATGTAGATATAAACTCATCTTTGGGTTGATAGACTCTATGTATATATGTATATGTATATATATATGGGTAAATTATAACGACCTCACTGTTCTCCCTCACTCGAATCATAGTTAATAAGGGAAATCATCCCCAAATGGCCGAACTATTCAGGTTAGTGAAATATTATAATTTACCCATATATATATGATATTTTTTTCAGAACTAATGGACGCAAGTTTGCGCTAACTTTCAGGTTTGTGTGTTGCAGTGACATCTACGAAAAATTCCTCCCCCCTGTCGAAATCTGTCGAACAGCCCTCATAAACCATGGTTCAGTGGGATGCAGGCACAAAATATCCATTACACTCTGGTTATGACTAACATAGCCATGGAAGCCATGGCCCATAGAAAAAAATGATTTTCCCAGCTAGAAACCTCCATTTTTTTGGATTTTCCATGGCTATGTTAAATAACCAGATGGTAATATAAAAAAACAAATCAACCAATATGTTCTTCACTCATATTTCATGAATCTCCATTTCTATAAGTGAAACGCCATTCTTAGTTCACTAGTCAAATTCCAGGATATTATCTATTCATTGCCTGGTTGGTGGTTTCAAACATTTTTTATTTTCCATTATGGGATGATCCTTCCCATTGACTTTCATATTTTTCAAGATTGTTATTTCACCACCAACCAGATATGTATTAATATCTATGAGTTACCCTCCGGTAAACGTTTACATAACTATAGAAAATCACAATTTTTATTGGTAATTCAAACCAGAAAACCATCATAAACCATCATAAACCATCATAAACCCATCATAAAACCATATTAAACCATATAACACCATATAAAACCATCATAAACCCTAGATAATCTATATTCATTACTGTTTCATAATATCTCCATTATTCCTGGCTGGGTCGACAATTCCATCGCCAGGCCTCCGATTCCCGCGTTACCTCTGGCGACGACTGCGGCTTTGCGACAGGATGAGGTGAGGAAGGGTTAGATGAAACGGGGAATGGGCTGGTGAAAATAGAACAACATGTTACTTAAGAATACTTCATGTTTGAGGCTTGGTTTTGAACTTGGGGATTTCGAGCTTTATCATGTTCCATGCGTATGAAGTATGAAGCATGTAAAACTTGTTTGAACACATGGACATTCAGTTGATTCACCAAAGACATTGGATTTGACCAATTTCACCAATAAAATTGCATGGCACCATTTGAAAAGAAAACCCACCAAAACCTCTACGTTTTCTGGAGAAACCCACGCATTTATCCAAACAAGCATGAAAAATCATCCTCATCCTCCTCAAAATATCTCAAATTTCAGAAAATCCTCGGAATTTTGGGGTTTACCATGGCTTTCCCATGGCTTTTCCATGGATCTTCCGAACTTCCCATGGCTTTCCCATGGCTTTCACGTCCGCGATGTGTTTTTCAGGGCGTGCAGGGCGCCGTGACGCCGCAGCACCTGCTGCTGGCCACGTCGCTGGCCAAGGTGCAGGCGCTGCAGCAGTTCCAGTCGCACAATTGGAACTGGGGAAACGACGCTGGGAAAACGGTGGCATTTTTGGGGATTCCTATGGGATTATGGCACGATGGGATGATTTATGGGATTATTTATGGGACTATTATGGGATTATTTGGGGAATGATTCTTGGAATTATTGGGATATTTTGGGACTGTGGATATTAGGGGATATGAATATTGGATATTGGGATATTGTTCTGGTGGTTTTCGCACCATGGATACTTTTTTTGGGATGCTGGGATTCCTATCGGATCATGGGATTATGATGGGAATCCATGATAGGGGAATCCGTGAATATCCATCTATCTGGGTAAATTTCATCACGACCTCACTGTTCTCCCGAAGCCTGGAATCATAGTTAATAAGGGAAATCATCCCCAAATGGGCCTTAATTCAGGTTAGTGAAATATTATAATTTACCCAGAGGTGATATTATTGGATTACTATGGGATTGTTATGGGATTACTATGGGATGATTTATGGGATTCATTATGGAATTATCAAACAATCATCATTTATCACCACAATGTCACCATACTTTCTGGGATTCTGGGATTATTTATGGGATTTAGGGAATTTTGTTTGGAATTATGATGATTCCCATATTTTTATGGGAATTATTGTAATGATCAAACTTCCCTACAATGTGAGGCCCCCGTTCGATAGCTAAGTTGGTGAACAGAACTCCAATTTCACTATGGTTTATGGTCTTTATAACCATAGTTACTGGGGCGAATCTAAACCAACAAACATATCTTGGGGGCCCATGCTTTATAGACCCCATTATAGACATCTGGCATATCTAGTCCAGTAAACCTACTGAATTAAGCCATAATTTTAGCAAACAGAGGTCAACTATAAACCACATAAACCTCATTAAATCTCTATGTGTGTTTTCTGGTTAAACGGTTGCACATGGTCAAACCCATTCAACATCATTCAACTGTGACGTTATTCTTACAAGAAATGATAAAGTTGGTGAATGATGTGATTTCACCGTAATATTATTGTGTTTTATGTGATTTAACTATGATATTCATTGTGATTTATATGATTTAACTAGGATATAAATGTTGATTATTGTGATTTAACTATGATAGTAATGGTGATTGTGATTTAACTATGGTATTAATGGTGATTGTTGGTGATTTATGTTCGCAAACTATGATAGTAATGGTGTTTTATGTGATTGATCAATGATATTAATTGTGATTTATGTGATTTCACTATGATATTACTGGTGGTTTATGTGATTGAACTATGATATGAACAGTTTTTTTTAATTTGATTTAACCTTGATATTAACATATACAAACATGTATTAACCCCATTTACCCTCTGGTAAACTAACATTAACTATGGAAAATCACCATGTTGAATGGGAAAATCCACTATAAATGGCAATTTTCAATAGCTATGTTAAATTACCAGAGGGTAACCCCATTAATAATCCCATCAACTGTTAGTTTACCAGAGGTAATCCAGCCATTAACATATATAAACATGTATTAATCCCATTTAACCCATGTAAATCCCAAGTTTCTGCGGTGTTTTTCTCATCGCTCCCCGGGCCGAACCGCCAAGGACTTCAGTCGCGACGAGTGGTGGATGACCCGTGCCCCGGTGACGCCTCCGGAGCTGCGGCAGAGTCAGGTGCTGTCCGTGGACCTCAGCGATAACGAGGCGGATAACGAGGCGGATTATATTCGGTGCCATGGAGGTGGTTGGATCAACCAGGGTTATACAATGACACACACACACACACACATATATATATATATATATACATAATATATATATATATAGTGTATGTAAATAGTTTTTATTGATAGTATATATAGTTTGCCAAGGATAACTGTTAGTACAACAATTAAAACAGTTATATTTAGATGGTGAATACACCTCATTTATGGTATTTTTTGGGGGTGGGTTACTATTGCTTTACAAACATTACACGGCATGGTTTCTTCAGATGCGGGATACTAAAAAAAACCACGGATTTCAATGCTAAAATGGTCTATATAATGACATGTTTGAGTAGGGGTACTCTTATTTTAGGAAACCTGCACATATACATGTAATACTACATACTATATATATATATATACACAACTGACTCTCGGAGCAATGCATAATTACGTAGATATTTATAGTTAAAGATAAATAGAATTGTTAAAACATAGAAACTTAAATACTAGAAATATTGTACGTCTCAGGATACAGATATATAGCACTGCACCCCGCATATGGCATATGGGGCATCGCAGCCTCCAGGTGATTTCCGCTTCGCCTGGGCACACGCCGCCTCTCCAGGGCCCAACGGAACCGGCGAACAAACGGGGCCTGTTGCGACCACCGGAGAGCGCCCTTCGGCGTTCGGCGTTGGGCGTGCGGGGCGTGCGTTCGGGTGGCCAGGCAGTTGGTGACCATGGATTGATGTTGAAATCCAATGGAAATCACCACTCATCACCATGTTTTTTGCTTATACAAATCCCAAGGAAAACTGGTTGGTGGTTTGGAACATGAATTTTATTTTCCCCAAGAGTTGGGATGATGATCCAATCTGACGAACTCATATTTTTCACGGGGGGTAGGTATACCACCAATAAGAAAACCTCATGATTTAATCAATTTGTGGTGAAATAAAACCATTCGCCTCCAAGGATGACGAAGACGTGGAGATCGTAGCGGTGAACGGTGAAACCCCGGGCGGAACGATCTTTCCCCGGCTGGTGCCTCCGGAGGCGCCAGCCGCGCCGCGGCTGGTGCCTCCAGAAGTGCAAGGAGAACGGTTGGGAATGGGTAAATCATCGTGGTTTATTGATATGGAAACATTCTATACCAAATCTGGTTGGTGGTTTGGAACATTTTTTATTTTTCCATATGCTGGGAATAATCATATTTTGCAGAGGGGTTGAAACCACCAACCAAAAATATATCATGGTTAATGGAACTTAATAGATATGACTGAATATTTGGTGGTTAATTATCACTTGGTGGTTCATCCCTCTTAGTAAGTGGGTTAATTTTATAAGTGGATTAATCCTAGTTATCCCATTTATAACTGGGTTATAATCCACTTACAAAGTGGGATGAACCACCATGTATATATATATATATGGATAAATTATATACTATAATGACTGCATAATCACGACAAAATCTAGTTCATCTACTTTACTTAGCTAGTCATTGAACAGATTTGAGCAGTATATCATTCATCACTGTTATGAATCAGATTTTCCTTCTCTATCATACCCTAAACACTCCCCAGAAACCATGGTTTAGTAGGGTCTAGTAGGGTCTGGGGTTGGTTTGAAATTGGATTTAACATACCCTCATCTTCCAGTTACCTCTCAGATGAGCAACCAAGATGATTTTACCTTATGGGTATTGGATGGTATTGGTTGGCTACCTATCTGATAGGAAACTGGAAGATGAGGAGATTGAGAGGCCCCCCCCAAAAAAAACATGAACAGCAATTCGTCATTTTTTGAGAATCGGATTTTCCTTGTCTATCTGTTTTGGGGTTACGACAGTATCTGCTTGATATAACATTGGGGTTTATCATAAACCACTGGGAAGCCAAAAAGACATTGCAACCATTTTTTCCGGGATATTCCAATATCTCTTGCCCTCTGGTAAACTAACGTAACTATGGAAAATCACCATGTTTAATGGATAAATGATTTAGCTATGGCATCTATGTCAACGTTTACCAGAGGGTAGTTCCATTGCACACTGAGCCCATGGTTTTTTACTCTTCGCGCACGGAAACCGTGAGAAAAATCGCTCAGGTTCATTGGTTGTCGCATCAATTTCTACAAGGTTGGCCCCCATTATATAAATTGGTTGATAAAGCTTATCAACTATAGTTACACTATGTTATAATTGCATATTGCCATAAAACCTAGTTGTTGTATATAGTTACATTCCAACTATCCTGGATGGGCGCCTCACCAAGCGTCTGATTTTTCTGTGGAAATCATGGGGCTCATATTTCGGGTGGATGCCACGGAGAGATGCGTAAAAAAGAAAAAACGGTTTCCATAGTCATGTGGATAGCCCTACAATGTGAGGCCCCCAAGATAGCTAAGTTGGTAAACATAACTCCAATAACTATAGGTTTATGGTATTTATAACTATAGTTACTGGGGCGAATCTAAACCAACTTAGCTATCTTGGGGGCCTCACATTGTAGTCATCATCCATTTATAGATGGTGATTTTCCCTTATCATCCATTCATTTGGGGGTTCCCCGGAGTTTTTTCATTATCTCTGAATGACGATGTTTGTTTCAACCATGGGGCACACATATTACCATCCACTGGTCAACGATTTTCCATCGAATGACGATAACTGGAGGGTTTATACCATTTTTTCAGGTACTGGCAAACAGGATGTGGTTGATGTGTATCTAGTATCCCAACTATAAATCCTCATGAATGTCCTATGAAATTCAGTTTTTCAATGATTATATCAAGATTCAAAAAAGACAAGAATTGGTGGATTAATCATTAAACAACTGGATTTCATAGGACACTGAGGATTTATAAGACATGTCTCTGTTTTGTGATTTGATCATCACCCAAAACCGTCTTCGTTGGAGATGAGACATCCCCAAAACCCCACTTTTTCTTGTTTTTTGTTGAATTAGCCCCTAGTAAATTAACAGTTCGACCCTGAAAATCACCCATGTTTAATGGTTTCACTAGTCTTCCAACCCCGATGACTGCCAAGGTCTATGTTAATATACCAGAGGGTATGTTTAATTGGGACTTTTACCAAGCCCTGCAAGACAACACCGATAACAATCGAATTCAGCTGCAGGAGAGTCCAAAGAGCCATCCCTACATCCGGAACCAGCCACGGAGTACCTGGGGGGGGATTGGGAATGTACCCTCCGGTAATCAGCTTGGTGGCTAGGTGGAAAGTCCACTAAATGCAGGTTGTTTCATGGGAATATCGTTTGAAGAATGGGAGATTTTCTCATGTTTGATTACCGGAGGGTTTCTCGGAAATCCGTCATCTGCAAATGATTTGCAAATCATTTCACAAATGATGTACTTTCCCTGTTTTTCGGTGCATCCTTTGGAAGAGTTTCACTCTGTTTCATTCGTTCTCCTCGTCTGTTCTGTGAAAGAACACTTTTGGAGACAACAAACGGCTGTTCTTGTTGATTCCGAATGTGTTGTTGGTGTGTAGAATCCGCTGTTGACCCTAATGTTTGTTGTAGAAAATCGCCAATGTTGTGTTCCATATGTTCCATGCAAAAACTGGGTATACCTCTGAAAACCCATGGTTGACAATAATTTTCCAAGCTGCCATTTTATGGTCCACCATTTTCTGACACACGGACATGCTGCATCATGCTGTTAATTATATCATATCCCATTAATAATATACATGTTTGCAGTTATCATTGTATACAAGGTGGTGCCACCCCCCAGTTTTTAGGTTGCTTTTTAAAACACTCATCTGGTTGGTGGTTTCAACCATGTTTTTCCATTTCATATATGGGATAATTATTCCCATTGACAAAGTCATATTTTTCAAGATGGTTATTGCACCACCAACCGGATATGTATAAATATCTATGAGTTACCCTCCGGTAAACGTTTACATAACTATAGAAAATCACAACTTTTATGGGTAATTCAATCCAGAAAACCATCATAAACCCATCATAAAACCATATAAAACAAAATGAAACCATATAAACCCATCATAAACCCATCTTCTGAAAACCCTCGAAATCACCTACTTCCTTCAACCCAACCCAGCGATTCTGACCTTGGACATCAGAATTACATCGTAGACGACACGTATCTCCCCAGTAGGCCGTTGCTTACATCCTCTGGTAAACATACAAAAACCTAATGAAAATGGCCATAGAAATCGTGGATTTAGCCATTGAAAATGGTGATTTCCAATAGTTATGTTAAATTACCAGAGGGTACACCCATTGTTGTTTGGTTAAAATACATGTTCCATATCCCAGAAAATATCCCATTCTACAACCACATCATGAAAACTCATAAGTGGCGAACTTAAATCCCATGATTGATATCTGGTTTTGTTTGCCTCACTACTTTGTTTCCCAGAGAAAAATCAACCACCCTGGCAACGCAGGATCATTTCCATATTATGTCCATCACATCAACATATTTTCCGATATCAACAGATACATATATATGTAGAGATCATAAACAAATACTGTACATGGCGATAATAACATACCAAAAATCAAAATGGTTTTGCATCCCCAAAGATTGATGTCATTTTTTGTTTACCTCTACCATCCACCACCCCACTAGGTTCTCAGACTTGGAGGATGACGACTTCATCCGACGCCTGCAGGTTTCGCTGCGTTTGGTCACCTTTTGGGTGAAGAAAAAAACGGTTGGTTTATGTCCCACCCCATGAAAACATATATATATATATATGTATTACATATATCTATAGTATTACATTTATATTACATATATGTATACGGTTTTTGATATTACATATATCTATAGTATTCTATTAGAATATTATATATATATATGTAATATCATAACCATGGATAAACATAGACAACCATTGGAGTTATGTTCACCAACGCAATGAATCGCTCACTGCACCACCTTGTGGGTATTGCTAATATCGAATGCTGTATCCCAAGAGACCAGTGTAATACCCATTGGTGGTGAGGTATGAACCAACTTGGTGGTTTTCTTGGGTTGATTGTGCACCCTACCACGGGCGCGGAAAAACCCAATGTGATCATTACCCTCTGGTAAATCAACATAGACCCTGAAAATCACCCATGTTTAATGGAAATTAGTCTTCCAACCCCTATCTGCCAGGGTCTATGTTAATTTACCAGAGGGTATTCAACAGGGTGAAGCAAAACCGGGTCATACCCGGAATGGTCAACATTTTTCGACTTGGGGATGCACCTGAAAACGCCAAACTCACGTTCTGTTTATCCATCAGACTCATGTCTATATTGGTCGGTTGATTTTCTCCCGGTGGAGAAATCTGGGTTATCCAACTATTGGTTTCTAATTAATGGTGGTTAATGATGGTTAATGATGATGGTAATTAATCACTATGACTATTAATCACTATTTAGATTTATCTCCCAAACATTCCAACTATTGATGTTGTTTTGCCAGAGAAAGACTAAGACCCCCGCTGGGAAGTATGCCCAAAACTATAACACATGACAACTAGTTTTTGGTTGATGATTTTTAGATATTTATAGGATAATCATGTATAAACTAAACAACACATTTTTTTACTATCTCATAACGAGTTACTTTTCTACATGTTTTCGGCTTGGCTATGCTAGAACTTGAAACTCACTTTTCGGCGTGGAGAAAACAGGTTAAGTGAACTTGGCACTGCAAAAAGCAATAGGTTGTGGATCGAAAATTAGGCCCAAATGGGTACTTTATAAACACATGGGGTCTTCTTTCCAAATGGGTAGTTTTCAAACAAGTGATGGTATATATATATATGTATATATATCAGAGGGAGTTGAACCGACCCCCTTGGGACATACACCCTTTAACTTAGGCTAAAATGCTGTCAAACCTGTTACACTCATGACACATCATAGCGCCTCACAACCCATCATAACCCATCATAACCCTTCATAACCCTTCATAACTGCTCTTAAGCATTTCAGTGCTTTAAAGTGATGAAAAATCACAGTTTTTCAGCTCATACTGTAACTCTTCATAACCCTTCATGGGTTCTAATAAATCTTGTCAGGAGCAGTTCAATGGCATTCTGAAGAATATGGCTGAAACACTGCTTGTGACAGATTGGAAGCCAGAGGTCACACTGACGATCGGCCCCGCCTCTCTTAGAGTTTATCCCGCCAATGTTTATATATTATATATACATATACATTTACATATACATACATACGTACATATTATGATGGGAAATATATATATATATAAATAAAAACACTTCATTCGATGTATACAACCATTAAGACAAATTGGGTGTGCCTGAAAATGAGAGATAGGCCTCCATGTATGGCAATTTAAATGTAAAACATGATAATAAATTTAAAACCCAATGGGATGGCTGGGGATATTAGACTATTACTAGACAACAATCATCATCTACAGTTTCGCATTTTCGTAGCGAATCTCAATTTTCTGCGGCAAAATGACCCCATGTGCCCCGTGCTTCCATCGCAACCAACACGGCGGATGCAGGACACAGTGACAACCTGACGGACGCTTCTGGGTTCCCTGACCCAGAGTGTGGTACCACCAGTAATGAAACATGTTTTGCTGGAACGTCAACTTGTACTGCAGCTGTTCTAAAACAGTTGCTGCCATATATACTCAGGGATTTCTCCATGTCCAAAGCCTCAATATGCCTTCTGTTCACATCAAAATAGCTGGGATTTTATGAATGTCGCCTTAAAACATGGTATTTATAGGGTAAAACCATAGCCGCTGCCGCCCTTTCTGATCTCCAAACCTCCATTTCATGCCTCCGATGCCATGCTCCTGGAAAAGGTGTGGCTGAATGACTTCAACATGATGTGTCTGTATTAGATATATATATATATATACATATCTATATATTTAATTATATCCACATATTATACATAATGGTTATACAGTATTTATATATATATATATATTATTATAACTATATTATGATAAAATATACCTATATGTACCTATATGATAATACTTACTGTGTCCAATTGCAGCAGTTGATGTGTACTCAACAGATCCCACTACAACGCCGAGGTCGATCCCGACAAAAACGTGGGGTGATTCACGTGGTGACCGTGGGGGTTGGAGATCAGTACTTTCAAGAGATGGAACTTGTCAGGTTGGTTGATTATTATATACGTATATATATATATATACATACACTATATATATACATAGAAATATATGGGTTTATTTTTGGGATAAGTTGATGATACGCGGGTTATTATTGGGATTCTAGCCATCTAATCTGATCCAATATGGAGATAAAAGTGTATTGGGACTCTAACCATTATGGAGATAGAAGTGAATGTAATTGATAAATGATGCTTGGTTGATTACTATGGAGAATTTTACCACCCAATATATTGGGAATTATCACAAACCATTAGTGATTGGAGAACATTATCGACTGGTCAGTATAATCCCATATGATCATCAAATTTTAATCCCCTGTTAGGTTCATATTCCTATCTATTGATGATTGTCACAATACATTATTCAATACATGAATGGGTAATTCCTATTAACCGACAAGTTTTTGAAGGGACCGCAAACTGCTGGTTTTGAACACGGTTCAGGTGTTTTATGCCTCACGCGTCTTCCTTCTCTCTCTCTCTCTATACCCTCTGGTTATTCAAGAGTTTGATATGGTACAATAGCATATGTATAGATGATTTGTGACGCTTTGCATGTTAATAGTGGTGATTCTCGATAGCTACGTTAAAAATATTAACAGAGGGTGTAGAATATATATATATATATGTATGATACATGTTTTATGTGATGTGTGTGTGTCCTTGCTATCATGTAATTAGTTGTTTTTGAAATGTACATACCTTTAGTATACATGCACATCCTATCATTTTCCAAGATAGATAGAATCCATTGCAATGTGCCAGGTATGCCGGTCATCAGTGGATGCTACCTATAACAACAAAAATATATTGAGACATTACCTGGACATACCAGGGTTTATGATACACATATCTATAGTATTCCGATGATTCAGAGATGGATATTTCTTAGTATGTCCAGAATGTCTCGCTACATTTGCTCAACATGTGCTGGTTATTTGGTCATGTGTTAAAAGAACTGCTATGCCATAGCTATGCCGAAACATGAACATGATATGTCTTTAGTATCTCTCAGTATGTCCAAATGGATCCAAATGGTATGTATGTTTCATTTGCATCCACTGCTTGCTAACTTTAAAACTGCTTCGTCTTGTGAAAGTGGATGCCGACCCCCTCGCTTGACCAATGATTTGCTAATGATCCTTATACCGCGACGCGAAGCGGGTGAAGCGGATGACTGGGTCGTTGAGAGTTGGGTACATCATGTTGCAGTTATTGATGGGTTTCTTGTTTGGATATAACGTATTTATATATATATGTATAATAATAACAATAATAATAAATAAATAAATATATATATATATATTAGGACATACTTTGAAATGGTATCCATGCCATAGTAACATATACGACTTCTTTGCAGGGTATCTCAGGTTAATTAGCCACGATCCGTGGTTTTTGCGAAATTCAGACCCAGGAAAGCACAGTTGAATGTCATTGTTATATCCTCTGGTAATTTCACTTATATAGCTGTATATATATATGGAGAATCCACATGTTTAAGAGGCAAATCAATGTAAATAATGTATAAATGGGCCATGTCCCACAACCATGTTAAATTACCAGAGGGTAAGTATCCAATTTTGATCCATGATTGTCAGTATGTTACAGGTGTCTCACGATTTTTTGAACAATCTTGTCGGCATGCTGAAACGCATTTGTTTTGGCATGATGCAACACATTGGTTTCAAGGGATTTCCCCTCAAATTTATCAAATATGTACATACCTAGACCATCCTAGACCCTCATGGTACCCACAACAAGAACATAAATCCTGAATTGCGGTATGTTTATAGTTCTAACATCTTGGCCATGGCCTCATTGCCCCTTTGTCCAAAGATGTCCAAAGGATGGCAACCTGGGTCATGGCAACCGAGGCCCAAGGGGACTGAAACCATGATTCACCATCCCATTTTATCCATTTTATCATAGGATTCACATAGGATTAGTCAACACCATCAGTGAATGGGGTACAGATTGGGTACAGATGGCTACATATGGGGTACAGATATTGGTATTCAAAAGACGCGATGCCAGACTGCCAGATTCAGTTAATGTGCTACACCCAATGCCAGTTGTCGGTTGACGTGGCCTTCACCCGCACATCGCCGGAAAATGGCCACTGCGCATTGTTTGTGGCGCATTGAAGCGATAAAAAAAGCCCGCAGGGCGGCTGTCTTGAAGCACTTCCATCAGTTTTTTGGGTTTCTGGGGACCCATGTTCCAGATGTTTCAGGTGCTACCAGTGACTACCTCTTTTGGAAAGATGAATTACCAGGTTTCACCTAGTAACAGCGACCTACATCTAAGGAGACCTCGGCTTTGTTTTGCATCTTGTGTTGCAAAAAGGATCTTTAAGCCAACATTGATGAACATTCCAACTAGTTGCCCCATGTTATCCCCGAAAACACTTCACCTCTGGTAACATGGCAATGGATAATCCACAAGAAATGGTGTCCCATTAGGGAGAATCCACTATCAATGGTGGTACCGCTGATGCGAAATCCAACCAGAAACCGGTCTTCTGATACCTGCAGCGTCCATGACTGAGGACACAGGGCCGTGCGGATTCTCAAGTCATTTCCACTGCGACGAAAAATTGATCCCTTTCCCCATCGATGGATGATCTACTGAATCTGATGACATCGAATAAAAGGTAGATATGTTTATTCAAAAAAGTGGCTCAAAAAAGTATAAACGAATAGTATTAGATATATTATTAGATCTATTCATTTACAAAAGTGTATCAAAATGCATAGATTGAATAGATCCAATACGAATGACACCATGCTTTCAGGGGTTTAGTGTGAAGATGGAAAGCACCAAATTCCTGAGCCTATGTTTACACAAAAAAACACCCAAAAGTAGGTCAAGAAGGATGCCAAATATTCCCGATACATACTCAGATTGATGTGTCCAATCATCCCAAGAACAAAACTCTGGCAGACAACTTGTGGAGGGAGGGATACTTTGCGGCTGCAAAGTGCACCAAACACTGTGCCCAAACACTGCGCAGCGCTAGGGCACCCTCAAAAGCGATACCTGTATACAATTTTATCCAAAAGTGCGTACATGCAAGAGGCAACATTAGCTCTCCGCCTCCTTGTTTCCTTTTCCTTTCCTCGTTTCTTTCCTCGCTCTAATCTTGTTCTTTTCTTTTCATTTCCTTTCCCTCTCTTCCTTTCCTCTTTCTTTCTTCCTCGTCTCTTCTGTCACTTTCCTTTCTTTGCCTTTCCTCTTCCTTTCCTCTTCCGTTCCCTTTCCTTTCCTCTTCCTTTTTTCTTTTTTTCATTGTCCTTTACTCTTCCTTTCGTCCTGTTGTCTTTACACAAAATGTGCTCCTCCATCTTCACAAGTACAAATTTGTTCCTTTCTTTCATAGGGATAGGCCCCCTAAAAGCGCTTGGTGTTTTTGAGCTTAGCGAAGACAATGAGTTTCGACAACGGCTCATACGTTGAGTTACCCGGCCGTAAACGATCAAAGATGTGCACAATCTTAATTTTCCCAGGAACATGAACATGATCCAAAAATATCTAACGTATTTTAAGATGTTTCCTGGAGTTGTAGATCAGGTTGGTTGAATTATTTGAACAATAACAATAACATTTGACAAATTAGGGTTGCTATATGTTGCTATAATCTTATAGTCTTTAATTTTATATGAGGATAGATTCGAAGCCTATGATACCAGATTTGGGCGATTGGACATCCACACCTACTGGCTATTTCAGCATTTTTTTTTGGTTCACCATGGCACCGTTTTGATTCATAGGGCATATCTACACCTTCCTTACCCGTCATTGCAGGTTATACCTCATCGAGGATGATTTTCTCACCAGTCGTGGTTAGATCTAAATGAATTGGCTGTTGGTGCACCGATTAAGCTATATTACATCTTGATAACCATATCCCATAGGATCCATGTATGCTATATATGGTAACATTTACCATCAATATACCCCCAATGTTAGCATATATACCATACATGGATCCTATGGGTATGGTTAAGTGTCATTATCTCATCTTACTGATATGAATGTGTTTGTGCTGTCATAAAGAAACCATATTGTAGGTATATCATGTATATATAGACATATTGGACTATATCATATACATCATAACTCAGAACAACCAAACAAACACTGTTGCACCCAATATACATATACTATCATATACTATATGGAGTATATACATATTGCAACTCAATATAACTTTATATCAACCATACCTTCAAACAAGGTCGAAATTTCCCCGGCGAGGTCGGAGCGTCGAAGCTCTCGACGTGTCAGCCAAGGCGGTTCAGGGCGCAGAGGGAAACGTCATGAAACAAAACGGGCTGATGTAGTTGGATGATGTTGAATGATGATTCTAGAATTTTAGGTCTTACAAATGTTACACATGTAATATGTTGAATTTGTTTGTAGGATTCCAGATATACGTTATGTCACTTTGATGTTTTGTTTTTTTCTTGAAATCATGTTTATACATATATTATATTTATTTGGGAAAATGCAAGTTCAAACATGTTCAAACAGTATCCATACGTGAGTAGTTTAAGTACCGTCCCTGAGTAGAAGTCAAATGACTGTCAGCTTGACGCAGGGGCAATGGAAGATGAAGAGAAGAACCCCAGCGCGGAAGTTGAGGCGGGTGGTAAACCTGAATCTCTATAAAAATTGGAGTTGAAATGGAAAAAAGAACACTTATAAATGGGAATAGTCCATTGCCATGTTTGATTGCAAGAGGGTTTGTAGTAGTAGCTTAGTAGTTGATATACGGTTTCTTTACATCAACATATTCTTGCAATGTACCCATGCAAAGCCCAGCAAGTTAAGTTGGATAGCACATTCATCAAACACCTCTTGGTAATTTGTCCAAAGGTGAACGGTGAACAACGATTACCAAAGGATGGATGCGGCATTGGTGGTCCCTAGGGTTTCCCTATATAGTTACTGCCGTGTCGAAATGTACTAGAAAAGATCGACGTGCGTACAAGAACTATGAATTATGTAGTTCGGTGTTGATTTAATCGCTATTGATGCAAGCTATGATGATCTATGATGCATATCATTATATGTTGATCAAACTCATTCTTGTGCAACCACATTGACCATGTAATCAACTTAGCCCCATGAATTCATGGTACAAGAAGCTGATGCATGGTACGTAACCCGAAGGTGTTCCAAGTTGGGATGCATCAGATGACTCAACAATGGCGGTTTTCCATAGTTATGTAAACGTCTACCAGAGGGTAAGAATGGATTCTTATTGTTTATCCATGTTCTCCATACACCTTGTGTCACTGTGCTTGTTTGATTTTTTCCTACTTGAGATTAGTTGGTTTGCTTGATCTCTCTCCCTCTCTCTCTCTCCCTTTTGTCCTGAATGTATCTAAATGTGTTTTTTTCTATTTGTTTGCTACCTGTTCTGGAAACTTGACTTTATGGTTGCATGAAATGTTGCATGTGTGAAATCAAAGTCAAACCCTCACGGGTAGGTGTGACTGAAAATATCTCACCTCAAAATCCATGGCTGAATCATCATTATTCCCATTAACACGGACACGGGAATCAAAATGACCCCCATGACTTTCGAACCAATGAACATCAGCTAGATGGGGGGTATACCCTCTGGTAAACCAACATATAGCTATGGAAAATAGTCCATGTTATAGATGAATTTAGATGATTTACCTATCAACAAATGTCAACTTCCATAGCGAACGCTTAGTTTACTGAAGGGTAGCCGGGTAGCCCTTACTGACAGCGTTTAGCAATTGCCTTCGCTAGGTGCCGGATGAGGTGCCTCCATCTCCCATCCGCGCCTCTCGGAAGGCGTGGTTTTTCTCATGGTGTCATGGTGGATTTTCAGGCACCATATGTCACCATCAATGGTGAACACGTCGGAAATATACCATCATAGAAGGTGAGGCCCCCTAGATAGCTAACTTGGTTTATAACTCCCATAACTATGGTTTATGGCAGATATAACTATAGTTAATGGGGTTTATAAACCAACTTATATCTTGGGGGCCTCACATTGTAGACGTCCCTTTGCCCACTGGTTGGGCTGATTAACAGACTCTAGTAGAGGCTTCGCCTGATTCTACAACAGGTAGATGAGATGATAATGCATATTTGCATCATAGATGTCCGGCTTTCCCATTGGTTGGTTGATTAATAGAGGGGTTTGAAGGTTTACCCCTTTAACAACAGCTTTCTATGATGATAGATGGTATACCAGTTCCCGGCCCCTCTATTTTTACCAAAAGGACATTATTGAGCATCAACAAAGATGGGATTGATTATCTAATGATGAACATGGATAGTCAGGTCTGTCTGAAAATGGGGGGCACCAGCTCAGAGGTGATATGCCCATTACATTCATGAAACCACCACAGTACAAGATACATGTATAATTATTCGTTATTCGCATATCTACTAGCGTGGTGTACTATATTATATATGTTGTTTTTTTCTATCTCTCTCTCACTCTCTCTCTATATATATATATACATATTATATTCTATCTCTATATCCATCTATCTATCCATCTATCTATATATATATATTATATTATATATTATATATTGTATATTGTATATGTATTATGTGTTACATGTGTGGGAGAAGATGAGACCTGATAATTGTTTGTCTTACAACCACCAGGACAGCGTTCCAAAGAGCACCAGGGCTCGGCTTTTGGCCGACAGCGACGGTGGGGACCCACAGCTGAGCAGTGGCTGCGATCTATGTTGGATGATTACCCTCTGGTAATTTAACATGGTTAATATCTATGGTTAATATGGTTTTAATATGGTTTTATAGGGATGATAATGGGATAATGATGGGATAATACTGGGATATACCCTCTGGTAAACTAACATACCTATTGAAAATGGCCATTCATAGTTGAGCTACATATTCAACATGGTGATGTTCCATAGCTATGTTAGTTTACCAGTGGGTATAGTATCACATTCATGGTTCCTCAAAGTGACCTTTACCACCAATCCGAGGTCACTAAACCCCAAAAGTGTCACTTAGCCGTCTCAGAAAGGTCACAAGAATCAGCATCATGGCATAGTATTATTGTATGTAGTTTGATGATTATAATCAGACCTACGGGGGCATTATAATCAGAAGCATACCTATACCATGTTGATACAATATCTTTCATGTTTTGATGATTATGGTATCACAATCCATTAGGTATGTCTCTTGGGGATTATTAGATGATTAGTCCGGGGATTATCATAATCCTTTGTGTGATTCTTATGATTATTTCGGGGACTTTAGTATCACAACCCCATAGGCGAATCTCTATCAACCAACCAACTATAACGCTGCTCACATGGCTGTGTCTGAAAATGCCAGAATACCCGAACAATTTTGTGTATTTTGCATGGGGAGAAATCATCCCAAAATGAACATTTCAGGTTGGTGACTTTTGATAAGTTATCATATTTCGGGGGTATTTGTTGGGATGACAAATAACCAAAGCTGTTTCAAAGTGCAACCACAATGGTTGACCTTTTGAAGCGTTGCATCTATCCTCAAGTCTATAAAACATACATCCGATATGCTGAGAAGCACATACTGTACCACCTTTCACGGATTCATTCCAAACTACCCTCTGGTTATTTAACATAGCCATGGTATAGATGGCCCAGAGAAATAGATGGTTTATATTATATACCTATTAAAAATGGTGGATCTTTCCATGGCTATGTTAAATAACCAGATGGTGTATATATATATATATACATCACTTTCTTGAATAAGATGCCTGGAAACTTGAAACTCTTTATCTATTGGACAAGACCCTGGCAGCCCTGGTTTCCGGTGAATTCTCCCCCAGACCAACCCAAACGATCAGCGCAGCAAATTAGAATCCATGGTATCTGATTTTCCTAATTCTACCAAAACCCTATGGATCCAAGTACCTTCTCAGGAAGTGGGACTTCGGACTGGGGTATAATTTACGATAATTTGGAGGGTTAGCCGTACCTTCTCAGACAGTGGCCATGGATCCATAGGGAAACTGTGGAATATTCACAACCAGCACCACCAACTCATGGCAGGGTCGACATGTTGGGGATGCTATAGCTTGGGATTCAACCCACAATGACAATATGCTATGTAGATACTAAGAACTAGTTGTAAATAGATACTATCAATATTCCTATAACATGGAAAAGTAGTAAAGTACTGGTATCATAGGTACTCATGTCACTAATAGTTGTACACTTGTACATATATATGTACAATCCTAATAAACTATTATATATATATATAATCCTAATAAACTATAGATAATAATATAATTAGAAACAATTATATACATATATAATCCTAATAGTTTCTAATCATATTATTGTCTCTCTTTCATCTCCATGTCATTCCATGTCATTCCTGAGGTGATGACGCGCAGCCCAGCTGCGGCCTTGGCTTTCATGGATTTGGCATGCCTACAATTCTGGTGCCCCCAGTTTGCTAGTTTCATTGGGTTGGTTTAAGGGAAAATCTACAGGAAACCATGGTTTTTACCATCAAATATAGGGCTTTCCTGTAAATTTTCCCATCATCCAATTCTATGATAGTTAACATCACTTCAGTTTCACCAGGTTTATGCGACATATATCGAACTAGTGAATTTTGGTTGTAAAGCAACTGAATCAGTCCGCGGGGGTGGCAGCACCTTCTAGGCGGAACTTACATCTGCCATGAAAGGGTACTTGGAATGCAGACAAAACGTTGAGAAGATGACATTGCATAATGTGTATAGATGATTATAGACCTAAAGCAAACAAAGATTGACTATAGATGGTAGATGATTATAGATGATTATAGATGATCAAAGATTGACAAACCTAAATCTATAGATGATGATAGATGTGTAGATTGACTCAAAGCCAAGCAAACCCTAAATAGACCTTAAACCAGGCCTAAGCAAACCCTAAACCAACCCCAAAAAAACTATATAAAACCGACCCCAAAAAACTAAACCAACCCGAAAACCAAACCCAAGCCAAACCTAATTAAACCAACCTCTAAATGAACCCTACAAGGTGGGGCCCCCAAGATAGCTAAGTTGGTTAATAACTCCAATAACTATGGTTTATGGTACTTATATCTATAGTTGATGGGGATTATAAACCAACTTATATCTTGGGGGCCTCACATTGTAGGTGCAAAATACCATGCGACATGAACAGTTCGAGCACCAAAATGGTGCAAATACAACGAAGATGAGAGGTTTGAACTCCAAAATGTTGCAAAATGCCGTTGAAATGGCAGTTTCCAGCTCCAACATGTTGCAAATAGCAAGGGAAACGGACAGGAGAGGAGATCAAAAAAAAATCACAAAACGGAAAACACATCCGGACCCATTTATACACAATACACATCATGTAGATATAGGTATCCAAACCTGAACAACTTTGACTTTGGTATTTTGTGTCCTTCCTACTTGCATATTTTCTGAAACGCTCCCATGCTTCGAAAATCAGCCCACAGTTGTTTGATTGGAACTGCACTCAAATGGAAGGTTGATCACAGATGAATGTGTTTCTTTGTTTGGTGATGTTTCCAAAGATGAAGTAATTATCAGAGTCTACCCCAATTTGAGTCACGGAAAAAGGAAAGAATCCAATTAGTGTCTTCGAGTGATCCCCACCTTTACGCACTATGTATTCTGACATAGTTTCTGACATCATCTGGAAGTACAGACCTGGCAGGTGGGGAAAAACTCATGTTTTTGCTGTTTGCTGATGAAGCCTTTGCTGGACAGGTCCCCAAAATACCCGAGAAGCTGCTGAAGTGGAGGAGATGGGTGAGACGTCTAGAGCAATGCCCAATTGTGTCCTGGTGAGCACCAAAATAATGAGCTGGTATTCCATGTTCTCGTAACCAGGTTCTACAAGCAAAATCAAGCCCATCCATGTTCTAAACAAAATGACGTATGTTCCAAGTATTATCGTTTCTTTTCCCGATATTGCAGGATTTTGCTGCTTATGCCCCTAGTATAACTTGTATATAAATAGTTCCATGTTTAGCCGTTTAGCCTAATGATATGTATCTCCCTCACCGGTTTATTTTTTTTGAGTGTATGTTAACCAATTGTTTCGACTGTTTAGACACACCAATGAAATCGTAATGGAGCAGTGGAGCAGTGCAACACCCAATGGTTGATGATCATATAGGGGGTTAATCTAACCAAAACATGGCGGAATATCACAATGCACGAGTGATTTATGGGAAATTGGTTAATTACTATAATCACATAATCACCGAACTTTTTTTATCATCAATTTCCTCAATCCCTTGTTGGGTTCATTTTCCTATGTGTTGATGATTTGTTTGGGGATTATACTAACCAATCCCTGTTCCAATTCCCAACGCAGCAGGACCACAGTGATGCTTCTCTACCACCCGCCAGCGCTGGCAGTGAAGATAGGCCGCGGAAGAAACGCCGTGGCGGGCAGTGGCTAAGCGTTGGGCCTTGAAAAAAAAGGAAAATGATGAAAATCAATAGGGACTAATCGCAAACATGACATGGGGACCAGCCACTTTGGCCATGTCCATTGCGGGCAGTAAGCAATTTTGTCCGCCACTCATGTGGCATCATGTATTATCTGGTTGGTGGTTTGGCACATTTTTTTATTTTCCCCAATAGTTGGCATGATGATCCAATCTGACGTTTATATTTTCAGGGGGGTAGGTATACCACACCACCAATTAGTTATGTAATTTTGATCTACCCTTTGGTTATTTAACATAGCCATGGAAAATGGCCCATACTTGTAGAAATAGATGGTTTACCGTAATTTAAAATGGTGGATTAACTCCATGGCTATGTAACACATATAACAAATAGCCAGAGGGTAACTAAACGAGTTACTAAACCAGGTGGTAACTATATCAAACAAATAATAATAACTAAACTCCTAAACTCAACCAGGTGCTGAAAAAATGCTTCCATCATTAAACTCCTTTTTTTCAAATAGCTAACCTCCATGGATGGGAGAAAACTTCGCCAGCCGGTCAGGTCGTCCAGGTCGTCCAGGTCGCCAGAGGCGCAACGCAATGGGGGAATAGTCTATTAGAATTAATAGTCTATTCTATAATAGTCTTTAATAGGATTCTATAGAATAGACTATTAATTCTAATATTTTTTACAGAGGTTTAGTAAATTTAGGGTCTAGAATTAATAGTCTTACATGGGTTTAGGGTTCAGGTTTATTTTTCATGGTATTATAGAATCCTATTAAAATACCATGAAAACCCCTGTAAGTGATGGTTGAATGTTTATAGTCTATGTGGTTAAAACAATTTCATAAACCACCCCAGTCATCACCATTTTTAGAGGTGGGATTCAAACCATTCCCAAATGAGAGGTTTATGGCATTGTTTTATCCACATTAGACGTCTATAGTTTATGGAGGAAACCCGCACACTAAATGGGACAATATACATCAATATACATTAATGGAATGCGAATGGAATATAAGTCAGCTGACTTTGCAGGATTTATTCCTAGAAATTGAGATTTATAGCTGGGTAAAACCAACAAAGAATGGATACGAGCGAGATATTTTCCTTGGGATGTAATGGATAATTCTGGATAAATTGATCGGTTTCCGTCACTGGAATGACGATTAGGGTTCGGGGAATCATTCCCAAATGGCCTTATTTTGGGTATTTTCACGTTAGTGAATCACTATATTTCAGCCTGATTGAAGGACCAAAGGGACTACAGATCTGGTGGTTTGTTTCCAAAAATCAAATTTCTTTCATTTAGCCGCTTTTTGTTGTGACCTCAACCAAATTGCCCCTATAGGGAATCACCCAAAGTAAGAATTTGTTTTCTTGAGATGTTGGAATTTGGGCCCCATAATTTCTACTGTAGATTTTCAATATATATATATATACATACATATATAATTATATATATATGTATATGTTAGTTACCATCTGGTTATTTGTTACATAGCCATGGAAAGATCCACCATTTTAAATTACCGTAAACCATCTATTTCTATGGGCCATCTATACCATGGCTATGTTAAATAACCAGAGGGTACTATATGTTGCTATGCATTTTCGGATTGCAGCGGCCTAAAGTCGAGAATTGGCGACTTTCTGACATCTCCCAAGGTCGTTGCAACATGACCAGCAAAGCAACGCGTTACGCGTTCATGCCATGGATCCTACTTGGGGGATGAAACCATATAACATCGTGTTTGGTTAACATCGTTTAATAACCATTTAATAGCCATAATCATATTTTTTTAGTTATAGCCATTTATAATAATCCATAATATAACATATAACCATATATAATGTTGTGTTATAACACCATATATGCTTAATAACTATAATGGAATAGACGGGATAATCCATTTATAGTCCATAGTGAATAAGCCTAGCTACAATCCATGACGGGATATCCTGGATGGGATGCTAGTCCTGGCCTCTCATTCCAGGAATCTTCGATGAAGAAACAGTGTTTTTGAAAACATGTTTTCAAATCAGGAAATCAGGCTTCAGTTTTTGGGAAAACATCTGAAAACATCTGATCATCGCTTGAACAAAAATAAAAAAAAAATAAAAATCAAAGATGTGATTTTTTTTCGACGCCCGAATCGATTCCCTCATGGCCTCAGCCATTGACGCCGAGGCTCAGGATGCCCAGGATGCCCAGGATGCCCAGGATGCGCAGGATGCGCAGGTCTCCAGGTGCCCGGTTGTTGCGACGTTGCTACAGGAATCCCATAGGGCCCATGCCGTCTATACTTGGAACTAACATAAACCCTGGTTGGTGACTGGAACATGAATGGATTATGACTTTCCAGAAACACTTGGGAATAATGGGGATTATAGTGGCTTGATGGATTTTAATTTATTGTTCCATATATTGGGAATGTCATCATCCCAGCTGACTCATATTTTTCAGAGGGGTAGGTATACCACCAACCAGAAACACTTGTTGCTTGGTGGTTTCACAATGTGTCACTTTTATTTTTGTTGTCTTCCAAGCTTACGTCGTTGGAATTGAGATGGCCAGCGGTCGGTGTGTTGGGGCCTGGTTTGGAATTTCGGGAAAAGCCTGCAGGGCAATCCTTCAATTCCAAAGCACCAACCCAAACCACCACTTACCCTCTGGTAAACTGACATAGCTATTGAAAATGGCCATTTATAGTTGATTTACCCATAAAACATGGTGATTTTCCATAGCTATGTTAGTTTACCAGAGGGTAACCATTGTTTGCTTTGAAGTTGTTGTTTCATTGAACGCACATGGGTTGGTACATGGCATTACATGGTAAATTCAGCGAGAAACGACAAAGGCGTAGGACATGATGCGTTCCCCTTCAATGGCCATTTATACCCAAATTTTCAGCAGCATCTAATTTGGTGGACATCAAATTTGGCACATCTCCTGGTGACAAACCCATAGAGCATGTCCTGTTCTTACGAAGCGTGGGTGCCTCTGGGGGATTCTGGGGGTTGCCAGGTTGTGATCAGGGTTTCAGAAATGGTTGTCGTTAATGTACTGGAAAGCGTTTGGTCAAGCGGTTTTGGGACTTGTTTGCTGAGTTTTGAAACCTTGGTGACTGTAAATGCTTCGGCAGGTTCACATATAGACATGTCACACTTTGCCAGAAATGCAGAGACTTGATGAACATAGAGTATCTTTAAAGCATGTTCTATGTTGGCATACAACAGGTTCCAGGTAAGGCTATGGATAGATATTCAATAGACGCATTGTTAGGATGATAAACACAAATCAGTTACTTCTCCTTGATATTTTTGGGAAGGAAACTGTTTCCCAAATCAAGATGTTCCTTCTACTCGAGGATGATCCGAATGGTTTTGGACTTCGACCAGTTCACAGCGTTTTCACTTAGGATCCTGCATTTTTATGGTTTATGGCATTCTTAGTCATAGCACCACGTCCCATAATACTGCATCTATAGTATATTCATTCCTGGAACACGAACCCTATCCTAAACAAGCAGAAATAAATGGTTGATTTATGTTGCTTCCCTCTGGTGGTGAAAGATCCCTACGTAACAAATCATTGTTTGGAGAAAGCACCATCTATTTCTGTTTGTTTCCAGCTTAGTATTTTCTTGCCAACGATGCGCAGCCAGGGCCCCTTCGGACGCACCGGAAGCGGAGGAGGCGGCAAGTGATTCGGAAGTCCGTGGGAGTGGCTTTTTCAATGGATGTGACCCATCCATTCAATCACAACAAATAGACACAAATAGAACTTCACCCAACATGTTGGTAGTTTGTTATGATTTCTTATTAGCATGTATGTTATATATATATATATATATGTATGTAGTATATATCCCTTGACCCGGTGGACCCAGGGAATTTAGGGTCTCAAAGATGGTCAAACGTCACATATTCCCCTAAAGACTTGTAAGAGTCTTCTGGTACGGAACCAACAAACCACCAAGGAGACCAGCTTCGAGGTAGAATTGGCTTCCATGGTAAGCGTGCATTGTATGGACATATATCTATACATATATATATACATATTATATATATATACATATTACATATGTATGTAATATTAGATTATTACAAAATTATATCGTGCATGTTTTGGACATGAAATATGTATAGGATGTCTTTCCTTTTTCTACTCACCAGGACGATCCAACAGGCTTCTTGTTGCCTTCGGAATCACCTGACTTCGCTTGACTCGATAGCATGCATCCATAGAACATAATTTCAAATACCAGATCGTATGTAGTATGTATATATATAGTATATATATAGTATATATATAGTATATATATACATAGTATATATATATAGTACATATATATATAGTATATATAGAGATATATATAGTATATACATATATGAAAAAAAACGATAGGTCATTGCTGGCCATTGCTGGTCGCTGGTCATTCCATATGTTTAAAGGCCATAATTTCTGGGAAAACCTTGGTTGGGGAGTTTCAGGCTGAAATTATGTTTTGATTGAAGTATTATATATATATATATATTAACACACGCACACTCACATGTTAATCCATCATATATTTATACTATGATATCATTTTTTCATATTTGGTTTTATAAGTTTTATATTTTTGCATTTATAATATATTGTTTTACATTATTTTTTTTATTTTTATATCATGTCATAGTACATTTTTTTTTGTATTGTATATGTCATATACATCATACAATGTGAGGCCCCCAAGATATAAGTTGGTTTATATGCCCTAGTAGCTATAGTTATAAATACCATAAACCATAGTTATTGGAGTTATAAACCAACTTAGCTATCTTGGGGGCCCCACCTTGTATACATATTATCATATAGACATTTGTAGAGTCGGTTGGAACACCTCCATTTGATGAGAGACCCACCACCATGGGACGACGCAATCGATTCAGGACGTGCGGAGCGCAAGAAGATCTCAACGTTGGAGCCGCAGGGGGAGCGATCCTGGAGCATGGCACTTGGACCATCACAGTTAGTAACTGGGTGATAGATGTGATAAATATGTGATCAAAGGAAGTTGGGAAGCAATCACATATTGATCACATAATCTGGGAAAACACTCATGTAATCATATATGTACTAGTTGAATGTGATAAATTTATGTGATCACCATAGTGTTCTCATTTTTTCACACTAATCTGGGAAAACATGGGAAAACTATGTTGGTACCCTCTGGTTATTTAACATAGCTATGGAAGCCATGGCCCATAGAAACAGATGATTTTCCCAGCTAGAAACCTCCATTTTTATTGGATTTTCCAGTTCGCTATGTTGAATAACCAGATGATATCCATAGTTGTATCCCAGTTCTAAATGGAATGATATAACTATTATAACTAGCTATGGTTTATAGTAACTATCATAGCCATAGATTATATCCCAGTTATGATAGTGGAATGACCCACGTGTGGGGGACTTACGATCACCAGGGATATGAAAACCACGATTTATGAGATGATCCTGCAAGTACACTATCACCGTGTATCATGCAGGCGTTTGGTTGGTTTTTGGGTATATCATGAAGGATGTAGTTTTGTTTTTTTTGTTTTTTTACATGTTTATGTTTGTATAGTATATTGTCTTTATTTATATATATATATATACATATATCCACCCATCCATCCCACATGGGTATGTTTATATTTCCAAGACTTAGGGTTGGTGATATCTTTGCGAATATCAAGGTTTATTTTGTGATTGGTTGGCCATTGCCAGTGACGTTGACAGCTGCATGACGACGTCGGAAAGCAGCAAAATTCTGACAGAATTGTTGATGTCAATGGCAGTATATTGTCATGTATGATATAATTATATATATATACATAATATGCTTACATATATACTGTGATATAAACTGCCCACTAAATAAGGGACTGCAGCGATTTGTTTTGTCATATCAAACCTTTCGCGTGTGTGTGTGTGTGTCCCAAAGCAATTCCGGGGTCACTCAGCTTGTAACTGCGCCATGTGTTTGACTGGAAATGGGTGATGCCCGAATTTAGGTTTACTTTAAAAGGTAAAACACCGTCTTAATTCGTGGCATTTTTCATAGGGTTCCAAATTTTGATACAACCCCAGTTCAAATGATTTCCGTCTGCGATATCCGATAAATCTAGCACATCCCTGACCCCTCATGCCATTTGAAGAGAGCTTTCCTTTAAAGGATTCAGTTCATTTGATGTGTTGCTTTAAATTTTTCATTCAAAAGCTTGACACACCACCAGATTCATTCATTCAAAAACTTGACACTCCACCATCATCTAAAGCTGGCAATACACTGATTAGCTCCTGGCCTTGCACATTGATTAGATTCGATTAGCTGTTTCACATAATGAAGCTGTAAATGAACAGTCTTAACCTGGTTGGTGGTTTGGAACATGTTTTTGTTCCCATCTATTGAGAATAATAATCCCAACTGACTTTCATATTTTTCAGAGGGGTAGGTCAACCACCAACTGGCGATGCTTAATCCAACTGGCAATGCCAGATTTACCCCCAAGAGATGGCCATCATTCCCATATTCCCACTGTTTAAGGTTGGAATTTCCTCATGTGTTTGCTTGGTAGAAAAAAAACAAAGGTTAGTTGGCACTACCAAGCAATTGCAAAAAAGCAAGGCTCTAAACTCGCAAAATTGGGGTTCTGACAATTGGAGAACCCCCAAATCCATAGGTTAGCCATCATCGTTGCCAATAAAGTGGCCATGTTAAATGGTGTTTTTATTTCCATTTTCAGACAAAGCCATCTGGGGATGCATCCAATAGACACTGGAACTATGATTTTCGGAGGATTCAAGCCTAAAAAATGCTTTTGATGGCTCCATTCCCTTCTTTGAACTATGCCACTGGCAGTGGGACTGCAATATGGAAGTTTCCTAAAGTGCTACCCCAAAATCATCCAAGTCATGGATGACATCATGACATCATGGATGACCATTTCTGTATTTAATGAAGTACCGTAACGTATTGAAACAGCCATGGTGACGACTGGAGATCCCAAATGACTTAAGATCCCCCAGGACGAAAGTTCCTCCGTTCCGAGGTTCTGAAGTCTCCGTGCACAGCGCTGAGGCTGGAGATCTTGCAACGAATGGGTGAAGGGCTGGAAACATTGGGAAACTATATGAAACTATCTGGTTGGTGGTTTGGAACAGTTTTTATTTTCCATAATATATGGGATAGTCCTTCCCGTTGACTTTCATATTTTTCAAGATGTTTAAAACCTTCAACCAGCTATCATATGGGTGTGTTTGAACATGGGAACAGGAACGTTCTGATACATGATTGGATTGTTTGGGCTACCTATTTTCAGACAAACCTATAACATCGCCTAGCCTATAACCATTAAAATCATTAAAAGGAATATTTGGAGATAGCAGGAATATATTGGGGATATAATGGAATATAGTGGGGTTTCTAGTGAAGTTATAGGAATGACAGGGTATTTCCCAACAGGATGGTCATAGAACTTTTTTCTTTTCCGCTACCAAAGAAAAAAGGGTGAGGCCCACATGTTTTTTTTTTAAATTGTTGTAAACCCAACAATAAATAAATCCTATATAATTATAAATCCTATATTTATGGGGACAATAGATCAAGTTAGATCATAATACCTCCAAATAGTTACCACTGGTGGAGGTGCTGGTGCTGGTGCTGGTATATTATTGGATTCTAAAATGTGAAATGTAAGCATAGACTAATGGGTATGTCAAGATCAAGATGACTGAAGCTAGCAGTTCTAACAGCTAGCACATTGGTTGAATATGTATTTAGTATGCTTGGTAGATCCGAGGTTGTGAAAAGAAGCACAATTTCAGGTCCGAGACACAGAAAAGTATGATCTGAATTAGCAACAACAATCACAAAGCTGATGGACAGGAGATATCAATTAGATACCTTAGGGTAATCCAGCATAGATATGGAAATTCAACGGTTTGTAGACGATTTTCCTGTGGAAACTATGGTAAACTATGTAACTTGGGGTTTTCCACATCTTTTTGTATGTTTACCTTGGGTACCCAACCGAAATGCAGGCTATCTTTCTATTCTGGATGGATCCAAGCACCTCCCGTATTTCGTATCAAGCTGGTTAGTTCTATCATGGTATATCCTGCTATATATATATATATATATGTAACATGTATGATATGTCCAATGGTATAAATATCATTTAACATTGGTTAGTTCATATATAAACACTCTATTTCCAATGTTTCATGGTTCTCACATTTTCCCGGGGCTAAAGTTTCTGGACCATGTCACAAACGATCACAAACGTCATGAAAGGGGTCCCCCCGTGGCATGGGCAGGTCACATCAGACAGGGAAGATCATTCACCTGCAAATGCTGAGGCCAGTCCCACAGTGGTGCCTTGAAATCTGAGACTACACCCTAAAATCTATGTTTTGTTTTAATGAACATATATGTGTTTTGCGGAAGTCACTTGAAATTTTGGATCCAAAAAGGATTCAAGGGGTTCTATAGAAGTGTCAGGAATGTACAACAGCCTGAAATGGCTGTACCTATCTCCACATGTCACGTGCCAGGTTGATGTCTTGTTCATTTGTTTCTATGTTTTCGTTTCAAAGAAGGAACTATTGACTATGGAGGCCATAGATGAACCTCATATCCAGTGAAGAACATAACCTGTCTGGAGGATGTCGGGGAACGTCAAAAATCTTCATTTGATGCACCTGATGGATGTCTGCAACAAGCTGCTGGCAGTTGACCATAAGTTTTTTTTCGCCTTTCTGCCAATAGCCATCGATCATTTATATGGGTGTGAGTCAGAACCCTGGTGATAGCCATCTCTTCACCCCCAAATTATTACTTGTGGTGTGGATGATAATCCCCCTAAATATGGTGAACTATAGGTAGCTTGACCCATCCTCATATCCATGACAGATGGTTAGTATCCCTATATATTCCAATGATTTGTTGCGAATAGAATTGTCTGATATTTCATCATGTTCCTCATGTCATCATATCCCCAGTTGAAATGTGGTTCCTCAGGATATCTTCCTCAATTATCCTCAATGATCGCCCAGGTGACCAAGCCGGAGAGGAGGCTGTTTTAGAACAAGGGCCTAAGGGGTGAGAACAGTAAGCCAGGTGTAAATATGAACAATCCCATTTTTTTGATCGAAAACCACTTTTTTTAGAGGGGTAAATCCATAAATCACCTCTTGTATATAGGTAAATCACCATTTCTTGATTTATCGTGTTTATCATCATTGATATGTATGTATATACATATATAATGTGCATTATTATATATAGTTCTATGGGCCATTTCCACAACTATGTTAAAATGTTAAAAAACCAGATGGTAAATGACGACGAAATGTGGTAAACCCAAGGATAAACTATTCCATACTCGCACAATACCACACCATACCACACCATATCATCCCATACATAGCTTTACCATGCGTCGCCATTCGTACAATTGTTGTTTGAAATAAACGACACTTTATTATTGGGTTTACCACAATCCCATACAAGGCCTTTGCGAACCATGCGCATCAACTACTTACAAACTATAATGATCCTAGTACCAATACAGCTGACTCCCATGAAATGTTGCAACCAACATAATTTTCACGATTTGTGGCTTGTATAACTCGATTAGATTGCAGTAATGATTAATTGATCGCATTTCACGTAACCATTCTTTCCATTTGGGATGCCTCAGCTATGATGAAAGTTGCCGAATGAAAGCAAAGTTAGTGAAGATAACTGAACAAGAACTATGGTTTACTTAAAACAAACTAGTTAATGGATGTTGATGGGATTTATAAACCAAGAAACAAAACTGGGGGGCACATTGTATAACCTCCCCAGGCAGTTTTGCATTTTTTCTGGATCTTTGTGAGTTGGGCTTCATGATCTTTAAACTGGACAGCTTGCGGCCAGACTTTTTGACATCCGAGAGCAGGGTTCAGGTTTTACAGCTTGCCATCGGAATCACAGATCGGGTCCTTGACTGGTTGGAACTTATATATATACATACATACATACACAGATATAGAATTACATAAGACAAGTTAATTTTCGGATCATGGCAAATGAAAAGCACATGTTTCTGCTGCTTTAAATTTATTGTGCCATTTTTACACTCTTATACCTAGTGTATTTGACCCATTGTCATTCCATCAACGGCTAGTCGTAATTTCCAAACATTTTACATAGACCCTCCACATGATAGGCCACTCTTAGGCGCCTCTTTCTTTTGGACATGGGCTTGTTTGACAATGGTGTGCACTCCCCAAATTGCAATTGTCATACAATGCGAGGCCCCCAAGATAGCTAAGTTGGTTTATAACTCCAATAGCTATGGCTTATGGTATTTATAACTATAGTTACTGGGGCTTATAAACCAACTTATATCTTGGGGGCCTCACATTGTAGTTTCCCTAATATTTTGGAGTCATCAAGCCCAGATTCCCAGATCATCATATTGGCCCACAATCATACCCATGTTCTATCCGAATCGTCTACTGTACTGATTAATATACTATACCGATACCACTCTACAGTAAATCCCCACTATCGTTTAGTTACATAATATACATATTATGTTTTTGATTCCTCTTTGATATACTATAAATCATCATTATTGTTCCTATGAATCGTCAATAGGGGGAAATAGGGAGGTTGTATCACTATGATGTACAGAAATTCGCCATACGCATGGTATATAATCCTCATTGTGGTGGTCAATATAGTCACTAATATACCCAATAATTATGATTGATACGTATTGATACTATAATAATTACTCATCATTATCATGATTGTTCCTACGAACTCCCATTATTATAATGTTTGTCATAAATCCCTATTTCGACCCATGGATGGTTCAGTTCTACCACATGTTGCTGTCCGTTGCAGGCGAAGTGATGCTTCCGCACCTTCAGATGATGAGAGACGCTCCAGGGCCTCTTGGCAGGGACGCGTTGGCCGGGGGTTTAGACACAAGAAGGGCCCACAAACTATGCAGGATGGTGCCCCCCAGTGATGGCTATGTTGGTTTATAAACCCCATGAATACTATAGTACCATAAACCATAATTAAGCCACTTCTAAACCGACTGAACGCTATCTTGGGGCCCACAAACCATGGGAAAGTGTAGAATTAACCACGACTTCCTGGTAGAAATCGTTCTGCACAACAGGGTTTGCTGCAAAACCAGGGAGAATTGGGTTTCAACCCACAAAAATGGTAGATAAACTGTGATTCCCATTGAAATGTCATGGATCTGTGATTTAGATGTGATTTTTGGTTAAGTACATGTAAGTTGGTTTAACATAGGATTGGATTTGGGGAGCTATCGCAAGATGGGGTAACAACCATCTCTGGAGGCACTTGTTTGCAGCGTGGCAGCTGAAAAAGGTGGTTCAAAGATGACTTTCCGCACTCGGCCATTTTCGGGATTCCGTAGATATTAGATTTAGAGGGCATACCTTGATACATGTTCTCTTAAAACAAACATCAGTTGGCACATGATGTGTTTCTTTGACAAAAACGGACTTTTCAAAAAACTGTATTGATTGATGTACCACCCAAATGGATGGTTTATTTCATGGAAAATCCCATTAACATTTGGATGATTTGGGGGTACACCCATTTTGCCAAATGAAGGGTGTTCGTCCCATTCGCTATCCCAGGCGAGCCGAGGGAGTTTACGGAGAAGCCGCCAGCTGATTGGGATGGGAGGAGATTTCGCCAGTTTTTTTCGCCATTCAGATGCTGATCAAACGGAAAAAAAGGGGTGGAAAATCATATCAACCTGGTTGCTGGTTTCAAACATGTGTTATTTTCCCATGATTTCTGGGAAGGTCATCATCCCAACTGACGAACTCCATGATTTTTCAGAGGGGTAGGTATACCACCAAGCAGCAACTATGTTTTACGACATTTATGGTCACATGTGTCTGAAACTGGGAGAAATCTGTTCCCATTCTGGGTAATTTTGAGTAATTTTGTCATGATGAACCAATGGATGCAATGGGGGGATCCTATTCTTAGAGCCATTTTATGATCAAATGGGATTAAATCCAACCAAGCCCTATAGATCCCTATAGCAGATATAGGATGATATAGGCGAAATCAATCAAGAAAAGGTTGTGTAGCAACCAAAATCAGATAGCGAGCACAAGGGGAAGGTGAAGGAGGTGAACCCGGGGTGGTCTTCATGTGTTTCCATGTTCAACGGCACCAACTGGTGATATTAGCCAAGTGCCTGCGAGACGTGGCAGCACGAATGTTTAAACGTTAAAACGAGCACGAGATCGTCTTCAAATTTATATGTCATTCATTTGTTTCCTCCAAATATTGTTTTGCTAATTACTGTATCAATGGTAATTAAACATGTTTTAACCAGCCAAAACTTATATAGATTGTTTGGCATGTATCTAAGATTCACCATGTATTGGTATATTTTTCTTGAAAGGATAATATATTGTTTACCATTTAGGACCCATTGTGATAGCTACTTCGAGGGTCTGGGTAGAGAGTGGGATGAGCTGAGCTTGTTGACACCCAAACCCCACAAGGACAAATCATCAAAATGGACAAGATGACGGGGAAGACTACTGAAACATACTGTCCTCACCAAAAGGATAGTTTATCGTCATGCGCATTCTCCCCTTTTCTGGTTTCTTTCCAGAATTTTGGAATCATGAATTTCATGAATCATATTTGCTCAGATATGGCTCTGGATCAATAGCTATGTAACATAAAATGTAAAGCTGTTCATGTGGATTCATCTGGATCAATAGCTATTCATGTGGATTCCCCTGTAACATTTTTTCCGTTTTTTCCAGGGGAATCCACTTCTGTATCTACCAATCCCAGCTGTGATTTTCTCCGGATTCCGCTCGGTCCAAGGTGAGGACGCACAAGCTGCAGAAGCTTTTTTGGGCCATGAATCCGAGGCGCCCAGGGGATTTCATGTCAGGAGGGGAAGAAGATGGTTGTTATGGTGTGTATATATTGTTTTTAGGCAGGCATTTATGAAATTTCTTCTTATTCTTAGAAATCTTATATTATGTTTAGTATGATGTTGAGTCTTATTTATATGAGTATGATTATATATATATATATATATATCAATAGTTATTATTATTAGGCGCGTATCCTCTTAGGCCGACCTGCTTGGATGGCACATGACAAGCTGAGGCTCCAGATATGTTTGTTGGTCTAATATCCGCGATATTTATACGGTATTTCATCATATTTCATCATACTTCATCACCATTTTTATGCGAATTCTTGGAGTCATTTTGTATCATTTTGTCATTTGCACCATTTTTATGCGATTCCGATGGGTCCCACCTACCAAGTGAATGGATGTTATCGACAGTCATAGATTTTGACCACCGTGAATGGAGCATACAGCAATCTCACTGCAAGGTCACTGGGTAGGAGTAGCGGGGTACCCATGTGGATGATAACTTGGATTCCAATGACTTTTAGGACCCCTCCAAAAGATCAAAGAGTGATATATCCCATCATATGCCACAACATCTTCCTGGCGGGTTGGTTAAGTAAATGTTTACATAGATGAAATGCGGAAAACCCAGCATTTGTAGATAATTTGAGTGGGGGTTCCCCATTGGGTTTTCCACCATTTAAGTAACGTTGACACCAGGGTATATCCCATGATTCTACAGGAATGAACCCCAGCATCCTGGCAGGATCCCAGTGAAGCCTCATATCGTCGCCAGCCAAGGTCCGGGTTTCTGATCGTAGAACTGGCTGAATCATCTGAAATAAAAAAATGATGGTTAATGATGGCTATCTATTAGGCAGGATATGGCAGGAAAAAAAAAAATCATATAATATCAACTATCTATCCCATTATTATCCCATAATATCTACAGTTATGGCCCTTTACCAGTTATAAGTATTATAACCCCATTTATAGAATGTATAATCATCCCATTTATAACCAGTTGTAACTAATAAATGGCCATAACTGTAACTATATTGATAATATCATTGATGCTATATCCCATATTATCCCCTCGCATTTTTCAACTTGGTGACTTGATTGAAATCTGGTTTTCTTTCGGGGTCGCCCAACGGGCGGGGGTCCTAACTCGTGCACCGGTGTTGCACCGCAGATCTGGTAACCTCCGTACGTAGCATACATGCACCTAGCAAGTTCATGTAAGTTCGTGAGGATATTTGATATTACTAGATCCTGAAGGGTGGAATGCCTACAATGTGAGGCCCCCAAGATAGCTAAGTTGGTTTATAACTCCAATAACTATGGTTTATGGTATTTTTAACTATAGTTACTGGGGCTTATAGACCAACTTAGCTATCTTGGGGGCCTCACATTGTAGTCTTTTGGTCTTCCCACGGCTACGGCTACCTGCATTTTTTCGGAGTCTTTTTTCCAGTCATTGAGGGACGCATTTCTAGGATTCCAACGTGGCAATTTTCACATACCTCTTCTGAAGAGTAGACCGTTAGGAACTCATTTACACTTCACAGATGTTCCTTTCCTGTGTTGTAGATTGCCATTGCTGTCTTGGTAAAACACGGCAAATCGATAGGAAAAACACGCCCCAAAAATCTGACAATCCATTGAACCAACCCCAACAATGCTCCCCTGGCGTAGCATTGGCCCTATTTATTTCGGGGTCCCTGGTCGGAAGGTATCGGGTCAAGCCGCCCCTAGGGTTCGCTGCTGACTCTTGAAGCCTTAGCGGGTTGATTTGGATACCCGCGGGCGCGCCATTGACGTTGCGCCTTTCGACTTCTGGCTGCCGTTTGCTCGGCCCTTTGGTTCAATTTCTATTTGGGTTCACTTTGTCGCTCCTGGCTCTGCGGTGTGCCTAACACTGGATTTCATCTACGAGTTGAACTTCCTCGTATTTAATTTTGGTGGGGACACAGTATTGAGAGGGTGCGATCTATTTTCTGGCTCTGCAGCGTGCCTAACGCTGGATCATATTGGATCGACTTTGTCTTCAATTGGTCCTGAGTTTGACCTGCTTTGACCATAAGGTTCTGCGGTGGCCTTATTTACACCGGTGATTTCTCTCAGTTTTTCCTCGTGCATGTGGGTATTGCCTTGGAACATCATTTTCATTTTTGCGGTTTTCGGCTTTGCTTTTTCTCCAACTGACGGTCGACACGGTTACTGCTACCAAGCGCAGAGCTTTGCGAAGACATCGCTCACAAGCAAGGAGGCAGTGGTTCCTGCATCGGACAGGACAACGTGTGCTCCAACCAGCTGGATTGAAAAGAATTGCAAAAGTTTTGAACGCCCATCATTCAAGGGACCCTTTGCTTATCTGCCGCATCAGGGCAGCGATGGCATCAATGGTTCCTCCGGAAAAGGAATCCTGGAAGTGTTTTCACTGCAGGAAGATCAACAAATTCAGTGCGAATTACTGCCCCAAGTGCAGTCGTCCCTGGCAGGAGGTGATCGATCGGAGCTATGTGGACCCTCGAAATGTTCCTCCACAAGGCTCACGACCCAAATCCCCCAGGCGACAAGGATATGCCTACTCGACAGAGCAGGAATACGAGGAACCATGGCATTATCAGCCATGGCCAAGATCTCCACGGAAGAGGACGCAGTCACCGAGACAGAGGGCCCCACGAGCTCAGAGTCAAGGACGTGGTGGCAAAGGAAAAGGACAATCATCTGGGAAAGGACAATCAGCCTATTACCAAGATGCAGGGCCCAACCAGTTTCCATCGGCACCGGCAGTTCCCAAAGCCTCATCTTGGATGCAAATGGTCCCTTCACCAGCGGCTGCAACTGCGACTCCACCGCCTCCACCTCCAGCTGGACCTGCACTGGATCCGGTCAAGATGAAAGAGCTGTTCAACCTCCTAGACAAGAGGCAAGATCAGCTGACACCAGAGATTCAGGCAAAGATGCAGGAGATGAAGGTCGACGAAGTGAAAGTGGAAAGAGCGCACATGCATCACGCTGTCGATCATCATGGAGACGCCAAGCAAGAGCTGGCAGCAGCGCACCAAGCTCGAGGAAACATTCACTCGTCTTGGATTGCCTTTCTCAGTGCTTCCATGCAACAATGGAAGGAGTTTGCAGATCAGTTTGCTGCGCAGGAGAAATTGGCAGTAGAACGTATCACTGCTGCACAAGCCAAATATCAGAAAGCCTGCGAACTTCTGAGTCTGGAAAAGCAAAAGATTGGAATCAACCCTGGAGATGTCGCGGTGATCAGCGACGAAGAACAGGACACCAAGGAGATTTCGATGTTGAATGCCAATCAGATCACAGAAGGAATGCAACATCTCAGCACGACGCTGGCATCATTGCATTCCTCCGCAGAAGCATTGGCAGCGCAAGAACATGCAGCCAAGCGGCCCAGAATAGAAGAAGTGATCGACACGCCAGATGCCCCAATGGGATCAGAAAGAAAAGCCAAGGCCTTGGAGCCTTTTGGTGGGGCCAACTAGGTGCGACAATTTGGTGCCCTAGTGGTGTGCCCGGCACCACAGCCACGACTGCGCCGGTTCAAGTACAGTCGTGGCTACACTCCATCATTGATGAATGGAATTACAAGCCCACATGAGCGGCAGAAGCAGAAGCACTGAAGCTGGCATTTGAGGTTGGGTGTACCTCCTTTGATCATGCGGATGTTGATTCTGACAACTATTACAAACGTTACCTTGGGCTGGTTGGAGATCTCCCGCAATCCACCATGACTCAAGGCTCCATTTTGAAAATCTCAGGTGCTCAGAACTATGCTGATTCTCCTTCGCTGAAGTTCCCGCAGCTTGTGCATTTTGCCAATGAAGTTGAGATCGCTTTTTCGGGTAGGCCTGGGTCCCCCCTGATCCAGTCAAAGATGTCAGAATTTGGTTTTTCATCATGGCGCAACAAACCATGGGCATATCGACCAACGCAATCATCTGTAGAGGTTTCACATTTTTTGGCTGCCAATTTTGATGAGATCGCGAATAGAGTTTTGCAGAGTTCTGCAATCTTGCCGCTGAGCCATCTTCTCCCAGTGCAGCATCGTATCACGGATCATCACAATGCCGGGCCTCTTTCAGATCGTATAAATGATTTGCCGCAGTTGCCATTTGGAATATTGCCTGCACATGGCCAATTTGATCAGTTGCCGACCTTTGCCCAACAAATTCTTGCGCGGACTGATGAAACCATTATTCCATTCCAAAATGACTGGGATCTTGGGGTTACGACCAGAACATGGTTTTTGCATCATTTCAATGAGCCACGATGTGATGTTTTTAGAATGGTCCAGCTGACTGGTGATGCCAATACTTGGCTCAACCAAATATGGACGGCTTGGCACGACAAAGTTGTGCTAGGAGATCGGTTTGTTGTTCATGTGGTGAATCCGAATCCTCCTAGGCCTGTCAGAGACAGACATGTTGCAGTTGATTTGATACTTTCACAAGGGCTAGGCTCAGAAGACCTCTCAGGACTGGGTACTGTGTGGTTTAGCGATGATTATGCTGGAGATAGACATTTTTCAGTAGCTGCCTCACTGCCACCGCGACTGACGGGTAGAGACCTTGTTCGCAGGATCGATGTCGAAGCCCTTTGTGCAAACCATCACTGCAATCTTCATCATGTCAGCCATGACATCCCTTTTACTGATGATGTATCTCATCACACGCTTTCAGGGGATTCCTTTGTCATTGTAGTTCAAGAAATTGAGCCTGCTGACATGTCTGAAGCTTCGGACCACGAAGAAGATTTCAACAATGATGAACACTTTGATTGCCCATGGGATGAGCCCAACACTGACATGGTGCAGGATGATGCCAGCGTAGGGTACTCACCTTCACAGGGTCTTGAGTTTGATGCCACCGAAAGGATCCAGGTCGACACTGTCGAGGAAGTGCATCGTTCACCATTCCTAGTGCACAGGTTGAATCATGATTCGGTCCACATGTACATACGAGCCAGCACCATTGAGATCGCCACAAGTGAAATTGCATCCTTCTTGGGCATTCCCATTCATGAAATTGTTGCGGTACATTTCCTTGCGGTCACACCGGTTGGAGATTGTCCCAGAACTACTTCGGTCATTTTGCAGTGCGTAGGGGATTTGCCACCAGGCTCATCAGAAAGGTTAGTACTGCTTGATGTTGAGATCCATCTTGCAAGTCATCCACAGGCGGCTCCTCCTGCACCAGTGCCATCACGACGAGTTGTGCGAATTGTGCAGTTTGTTTTGCGACAACACATGCTCATTTACGCAAACGTGGATAGGTATTGCATTGGCCAACATGATCGTTGTCTAGTTCACCTCAACCACCGATTGTGGGGCAATGGAGCTCCCATTGAACTTGCACCAGCCACGTACGTCAGAGTGAATGTGCCGCCATCTGACGACCCTAGGGTGCCGACATTGAGAGCTATTGAAATTGCACAGGTAGATCCATGGGCGCCAAGTGACAATGAAGATGCTGGTGAGGCCAACTCGGTAGGCTCAAACCTTCATCAGCACGGAAATTCTTGCAGCAGGCGTAACCAGCAGAGAACACTTGTGCAACCGACCAATCAACATGCACTGCCTGACCTCACCCAGTTCCCACCTGATGGTGACAATGGTTGGAGAGAAGTTTTTGAGGGCTTGCTCAACCAACATGGAACTGTTGAATTCTTGGAGGAGGGACCAGTTATTTATGTGCAGTCATGGTTTGTCAATCACATGCTCCATCCGGTTTGTGACTTTCCTAGGTCCATCAAGATTGACGCATTCT